GTTCCATCTTCATTGCGAGGGAAAAATGTTTACAACTACTAAGGTATTAACCGTTGCATCTACTATCATATGATAACATCAGTTCTACGGCTGTTTCCTTTTTTTGCGATGCGTTAGCCACTTCCTGTCCGCTATGCAGTTATTCCCTACAAATCACGCACAAATCATCATTTTCTATATCACTTATTGTGTTTGCTCTCCGTGTTTCAGACCGGGAAATTCGCCCTTAATAAGAAAACACAAAAGCTGAAACTGTGTTGTAAAGTTTACAAAGAGTAAATAAGGAATATTTGAAATCAAATTTCAAACGTAACTTATCAAGATGGATAACACGCAGTACAGAAATTGTAAACACACACACGCGACGTTATCAGTTTATATAACCGGTTCATATATATATATATATATATATATATATATATATATATATATATATATATATATATATATATATATATATATATATTGTGACGATAATCTCTTTCAAGAGAGATTGAGCCTGCTCTTCCCTACATAATTACGTCAATATACAAGATACTATATACAAGATACGTTCACCAAGTATCGCCAAACGTTTTGCCCAGAGAGCAAATCGTACCCAGCACACCTGGCCACCGTCGTAACCAGCTAACTGCTCATCCTCTGCCTGCCTGTTGCTGATTGGCTGGTGTCTCGTCACACCTGCCCTCCGCCACCACCACAAGTCGACGTCTGGGCTGCAGTGCGCCAGTCTCGTCAGAATATCTCAGTGCTCCATGCAGTTGACATCTCTCGCTGGTAGATTAAGCTTTGGCTTTCGTGTACTAAGGGAAGTGGCAGCTCGAAGCCAGTATTCCAGCATTCATATTTTATTTTGCTATCACTGTAACTTACATGTCTTAGCGTAACTTTTCATTTGCCAGTAATTATTCATGTTATTTTGTTTGTTGACTTGTCCTGCATATTTTTATGTGATTACCTTTATTCATGTCTTGTTTTTCTAGAGTAATTAAAATTTCATTGTTTATATACTTGTGTTTTGTGTGTCTTCCCATTACTTTACCACAGACGAAAGGACCAACTTTTCTCTTTTTTTTTTGATTATGTGACGAGGCCCTGCCCTGCTTTTGAAACAGCCGAACACCAACGCTTTACCGTCACAATATATATATATATATATATATATATATATATATATATATATATATATATATATATTAGACACAGGAAGATCGGGGATTATAACCAGACACCCCCACTAGTCTGGGGTAGCCTAATGACTGTAATTATGAAGCTGGTATATAAAGAGAAAGAGATTAATACACAATTTTGGAGTTTGTGCATTAATTCCTGCTTTCTGGAACTACCTAGATGCTAGAGAGGAACTAGGTGACATAAGCAGACGAGGAGTCACAATAACGTGACTGAAATATGTTGACCAAACCACACACTAGAAAGTGAAGGGACGACGTTTCGGTCCGTCCTGGACCATTCTCAAGTCCATAGATGGCATAACTTGTTATGGAAAAAGGTATATAGTTTGACCAAACCTCTCGAACGCCCGCCATAAATATTCGCCAAAACATTGCGCGTGGTTACTTTACCCTTAATTAACTTGCTTAACATTATGCGTCAGAGTAATTGAAATTTTATGTGAGCAGAGAGCCATCGCTTAATGTCAAGTGAGTTTTATTACTGATGATGGAGGAGGTTGTTGAAACGTGCGGCCTTGAGAACTATGCTCGTCCCGGGGTTGAAACTGCGGTGGCTTATCACGTGTGTAAACACACATATATTTTGGTGTGTGTTTGTGTCTGTTTACTGTTTGTGCCAGGACGATTGAGTTGTTAGCTCTTGGACCCCGCCTTTCCAGCCATGGGTTGTCTAATGTACTGACTCCCGTCTTAATATTTTGTCCTATCATATCTACTACATATAATTTATTTTTCTCACGCGCACAGAATCCCAGGATGCAGCGCACAGTTGCTGTCTGACTCCCGGGTACAGTACTTGCTTATTGTTAGGTGAACAGAGGCATCAGGGGAAAGAGACTCTACTCGTTTCTGCCTCTTCGGGAATCGAACCCAGGCTATTGAACTGCCTAATCCAAGCTGTGTCTGATTAGCCGCGAGGACGTGTGTGTACTTACCTATCAGTGTAAGGTAATATAACGGTTTCAATATAACTGAAAACTCCACACCCCAGAAGGATTCGAACCCAGATAGCCAGGAGCGCTATGCACCTTGGCGTACCTGGTATGTGACCGTGGCATGCTGTTCACTCTTAAATTCTGGCGACCCGGACCAGGCTATGTTCCTCCACTACCCAAGACAGTTCCCCCAGCAAAATTGGGTGAGACTAACCGCTAACGTCTGGCCTCTATCCTTGGACAGACAGACACAAACTGACATGCAGACATTCTCCCTTATATATGGGCGTATGTGTGTATGTATATGTTGGTGTATATTATGTGTAATTACCTGTGTAGTTACAGGATGAGAGCTACGCTCGTGGTGTCCCGTCTTCCCAGCACTCTTTGTCATATAACGCTTTGAAACTACTGACGGTTCTGGCCTCCACCACCTTCTCACCTAACTTGTTCCAACCGTCTTCTACTGTGTTTGCAAAGGAGAACTTTTTCATTTGTGTCCAGTATCTTTGTTTTCTTAGTTTGAATCAAAGATTTCTTGTTCTTGAATTTGTAGTTTTCAAGAATTCGTCTTTGTCGATTGTATCGATTCTTGTTACAATTTTGTATGTCGTAATCATATCTCATCTTTTTCTTTCATCTTCCAGCTTTGGCAAATTCAACACTTCTAGCGTCTCCTCGTAACTCTTGTTGTTCAGTTCCGGAAGCCATTTAGAAGCAAGTATTTGCACCTTTCCAGTTGATGTGCTTCTTGAGATGGGCACCATGCAACAGCTGCATGTTCCAGTTTTGGTCTCATAATTTCGTGAACAATCTCTTTGGTATTTTACCATTCATGTTTTTAAACGAGATTCTGAAGTTGGAAAGTAGAGCATAGGCTCCTCTCACAGTGTGTGTGTGTGTGTGTGTGTGTCCAGCAGACACCCTGGCGGCAAGGCTTACAAAATTTCAAACAATGTGAAGCTGTTACCATGGAGACCCTCGGCGTAAATACATATGCATATAAGCACTTGTTTTGTAGACAATGATACGCTGACGAATAGCCTAGCCTCGTTAGGGCGCGCGTTGATTACACACACAAATAATATTGTTACTAAGATATTTAATATGGTAAAAGTAATGCGCATTTTGTAACGAAAGAAACTTTGTGCATTTTTTGTTTATACTTCTCATTATGGGGATAATTTTGAAGATTAAATGTGCTCAATGTTAGCCTTGGCAGCCATTTTCCAAGATGGCTGCCCATGGAGATTTCCTCGTAACTCCCTCCAAATAAAACTTTATGGTTAGTTTATTGCTAGCTCAAAAACAGTGTGTTACTCTCTACACTCAAATCTAGAACAACTCCAAAATTATCATTTTATTACTGTCTACACCCTGAATCAGTTCTGTCTAAATGACCTCAAATTTATCCCTAGGGGTCATTTTAATAACGACACATTAAAATATAACCTGCCAAGTAGGCTGCTTGGACCAAGTACTGGGGAGGAGCGAGGCTTGCAAGGGCCTGGCCCTTGAGGCCTGACGGTATTCGTAATACTAGTTAGGAATATTTCTGACTTGAAAAGGAAATTTTCAAGTCAATCGACTTGATAATGGCCCCAGGATGGACCGAAACGTCGTCGTCTCTTCAATTTCAAGTGTATGTTTTGGTCAACATCCTATTAATGTTGGGGAAAATTGTGGACAATTTCTTTGTATGTATTCAGCAGACTCCACAATGATTGTGTAGTATAGTCACCAGTCCAGAGACGTCTACAACCACCAATATAAAGTTGAAGGCAAACTCTAAAGCGTTTATTTATAGCGCACTTAAGTATAAACCTTAGTCATATTGGCTCAGCTTCGTGCATTTTTTATTGTATTAATGTTTTCTTGATTTCAGACCCCCGAATGACTCCCAGGCAGAACCCTTTGACAATTAATCAAATTAACCCTTTCACAAATTAATTCATCTATTAATCCAACATTATATTTGTAACTCATCTTCCATGTATATACTTTTACCTGAATAAACATTTTGATTTTGATTTTTTATTAATATGACCGCACTGTTGGCGTTGTTAATCATACAGTGCAAGCTGTCTATGCTTCTAACTATATTAACAATGTTAACACTGAAACATACTGCTGCCTGTCACCAAGGTAAGATAACAAGTACTGAAGAGAGTGGTCTTTGATACGAGGTGACATGAAATGCAAGGACACAGCTTCATAATTGCTTAACTATTAACTCAAGAATAGTAGATGGGGCTCTAATTGTTGTTGTTTCAGATTTAGCTACTCAGGACGAAGTGGCCATGTAGCACGGTCTATGGTGAGCCCGACTATTAGACGACTCTAATAGTCGTCTACATAAGGGTTTCTAGTACAGGCTAGTTCTTGGCCTTACTCTACGAGCATTGATATATTAGCTAGGAAACTGCGCAATGCTCTTTAGTCTTGGTTTGGCATTGAAGGTGTTAATTAAGGCCGCGGGAGAATTATTGTAAGACAACCACAATGCCTAAGATTATTGACCAACCAGCAAGCATTTACTTCAGTTGTGAACACAGACTAATACTACAGTAAAATCTCAGTGTACAGGTATCTACACGGAGAAGTATACACCTCTCGGAGTATTCCCTACTGTATATCTATACATAATTGTATGATTTGTAATCACAGATAAGTTTTCAGGCTTTATTGATAAGGCCCAAATAAAGTGCAATTGTTATCGTAGAACTTTTCTTCCGTTGACAATTGTGCTTCAAAAGTGTAAAGACTTTGCATCCACTACGCTTATTTGTGTACATATAAGCATATTATTAATTAATCAATATTACCTGCGTACGTAGGTGACAATTGTGGCTGCGCTCGTGTACATTCATTTATTTCCCTTCCAATCAGCTGTGAGTGAATGTAAACAAACAAGTTGGCGACACAACGTGTGGAAAAGTCTGCTGGTCCATCAAATAATGACGGATGTTGAGCTAAAAAACAAGGGAAATAAACTTTTTTCTGTTAGAAAGTTTGATGAAGCCATCAAGTGCTACACGGATGCCATAGTGAGTCGAAGACGTCTTGGAAGGGGACTCTTAGTGGGTGGTCGAGACCTAACCTTTTGTCTTGACTTGACGGGTTCTAATCTAATGTTATTTTTGGAGGGGTAATTTTTTTTTAAGGTCAAGTTGGCCCGTTTCTAGTTCACTCGAAACCTTAGGGAATGGTACGGGGTAGACTGCAGTGTTGGTTGAATGGTGATTACTAATATGAGTATACGTGTGTGTTCATTAGTGGTCAGAGTGGTGAGTATGTGATGCTGTAGGCTCTGATGTGCTGATTAGTCAATCCGGAATGGGTCAAGAGTAGAGATGAGTCTTCTCGTGTAGTTCTCCACCTTGTCCAAAATTCTGATAAACGAGAGAGAGAGGGCGGGGCAAGGCTATTCAGGAGAAAAGCGTGTATTCGAGATGAGAGCAAACTTGAGCCTCATGTAAGGTTTTGTAGTCATAAAAGTCACTTCCTCATAAAAAAAAAGTTATTCAGTTGTCGTTACCTACAGACAAGTGTCACTGCTTACAATTACCGGAAAAAACTTTGGCACAATCTTTTTTTTTACCATCAGTTACTATGTTGTTGTCAGTTTGGTTTAGGAAAAGTCATTCCGCTGCTGACCTCTTGCTAAATCTCTACATTAAGTTGCATCAGGCACTGGATGATTCCAAAATAGGTTGTGTTATTGAACTGGACATTGTAGGAGCCTTTGATTGGGTTTGGGACTCTGGATTACTTACAAAGCTTCAAGCACTTAGTACATCAGGCTCCATTTTACTACCTATAATAAGGGACTACCCCCAAGAACTGAATCTAAGAGTAGTCCTCAGTGAAGCAGAATCTGAAAAGCACTCAATTGGTGCCAGCATTCTGCAGGGCAGTGTGTTTGACCCTCTATTGTGGGTCAAATTACATTGGTGTAATATGATTTAGATTTAGGAAGAGGCACTGTATACTATACCCTGTGGTAATGATCATTACAACTATCTTACCTCCATTATTACGCAGTGATGACAAAGAAGTTTCATATGTCTGAAAAGAAATCCAGACATGATCTGAATCTTTGATTCAGATCATCTGTCAATGCATATTTAATGAGATTAAATCCAGCTTTGCATTTTTCAGTCCAAGAAGCCATCAGTTGCAGTATACTACACAAATAGGGCATTATGCAATTTAAAACTCAAAAGATGGGACCTAGTATGTCAAGATTGCCGGACAGCTCTCGAAATAGATCCAACGGTGGTGAAAGCACATTTCTTCCTTGGCCAAGCCCTCCTTGAAACTGATAATTTTGATGAAAGCATTAAACATTTACAGAGAGGTAAGATTCTTGAATTTTGGTTTGCTCCTGTGAGGGCTGTGATACATTTTTATTTGTTGATTATAAAACATTACATTTTCTATTTCCATAAAAAGGGTTAAAACCTCATAATTTCACTGAATTTTGCACTTTTATTAGCCATTTTGATGCCAAATTAAATTAACATGTTTCCCACCCACTCTCACACTGAATAAACACCCAACACTTGGCTTCAAGTCTAAATTGATTTATATTTTGCCATTCCAGCCAGTTAATATCCATCTTCCCCCTCAGTTTACTGGCTGGTATAAACGATCTAATTTTAATTACAGTACCTCTTTTAACAATTAACTCCATTTTCACTTGTACTGTAAAATATGACTGTTTTCTTGTTTTGAATTTTAAGCTTTCTTGTTCTACTGTATTTGTGGACCCCCTCTGAAATTATATGATGTATCCTGTTTAGTTATCTTATAAAAATATAATACTGTACGCTATATGCATACAAAGTATCAATGAAGATAATTTAATAAATTATTATTATTATTGAACATATCCACAAGGGCCTTTATGTGGGTTCCAACCTATTCGCTGGATGTTCATTTGATAAATCACATTATTGTGATTTCTGTGTGTATTATTATTATTATTATTATTACTATTACAGTATTATTATTATTATTATTACATATTGCACTATTTAAAAAAATCCATAATTATTTGGTAATTACAGCACAGGATCTTGCCAAGGAGCAGAAGGTTAATTACGGAGACGACATTGCCTGTATGATTAGAGTGGCCCGCAAAAGACGCTTTAATGTAGCTGAAGAGAAGAGAATTTCACAAGAAATTGAACTACAGGTATAGTATTATACAACAGTATGAGATATTTATTTTATCATTTTCACAGGTGTAGTATCAAAATGTCACATCTGAAGGAGATTTGATTGACATATGATAGCTTTTGGTGAGTAACCTTGTATTGGCCCCATACAAGGCAGATCCTTGACCAGACCACATGCTAGAAGGTGAAGGGACGACGATGTTTCGGTCCATCCTGGACCATTCTCAAGTCGACAATCGACTTGAGAATGGTCCAGGATGGCCCGAAATGTCGTCATCCCTTCACCTTCTAGTGTGTGGTCTGGTCAACATACTTTAGCCACGTTATTGTGACTCATCGCCTGCACAAGGCAGATCCTATTTATATCCATATATATAGGAGTTGCTTCATATGGGCCCATTTAAGGCAGCTCATATTTATATCAATATAAATAAGGGCTGTCTCAAATAGGCCTATTGGACCATATGTGGGAGCTCCTATTTATATTTATATAAATAGGTACACTATTTGCCTTTTTATTGGTCCATACAAAGCAGGTTCTATTTATTTTGAATAAATACATAAGAAACATAAGACTCACTCTAAATCTTGTGAGTGACAAACAAAAATGTTAGCCAGTGTTTTTAATGCAAACTGAAAGGTTCGCAGCTTCTTGGCTACGAGTCAGTCGGCATAGGGTCAAATGTTTTGTTTGTAAGTGTGTTCGAAGCAATGGCTCTTTGCCGTAGTTGTCAGTTAAAGGCAGAAATTGGGCACTCTTGGTAATGGTAATGAGCACACACTAACGGTATTTATTGCAGAGGTGGGGTGTCACGGGAGAGAGAATCTGTATGACACATTGACAGCTAAACATATAATTTTGGTACTATTTATAGAACTATAAGCGTATATGTTAAAAGGTTTATTGTAATTGCCACTTTGTAGTTTTTATACATCTTTCTCAATCATTACAGGTCAGAGGAAGCATGTGGGCTTTTGTGGTTTTAAGAGTGCATGTATTTTGTGTTAAGTTAGCCAGTTTGAAATAGTAAATACAGAAGTGTTTGAAATTTCCCTGAATTTTCATTTTTTTGTTTTTTTACAAAGTATTATAGAACCAAATTTAATTAAAGCTACAAAATAATTTTTAAATTCTCGTTAATATTTTTCAGACATACATGAACAGATTAATATTGGAAGATCGTGATCGTCAGATTGATGCAGTACGACAGAAATACGAAAATGATGAGGACAAGTCGCAAGATGAAGTAATGAGAATAGAAGAACAAACGGTGAGTGGAGCTTGCTAAATGTTTGTGAACTGTACATTTGTGAATATTACAGAGCAGCATGCAGGGCTACGGACAGGGCAAACGTTACAGTGCAAACTTGTTCTCAGTACCTTAGTGAGTTTGATTTGAATTGGCTAAATCAGGCCACTTTTGAAACACCGTATGTATGTATGTCTCAGTGCTCGCATAATATGACTTTTTATTTGATCTTTTATTATGACTCCCATGATACAATTTTCTCTCATATACATTATCTTGAGGTTATCTTGAGATGATTTCGGGGCTTTAGTGTCCCCGCGGCCCGGTCCTTGACCAGGCCTCCACCCCCAGGAAGCAGCCCGTGATAGCTGACTAACACCCAGGTACCTATTTTACTGCTAGGTAACAGGGGCATAGGGTGAAAGAAACTCTGCCCATTGTTTCTCGCCAGCGCCTGGGATCGAACCCGGGACCACAGGATCACAAGTCCAGCGTGTTGTCCTCTCGGCCGACCGGCTCCCTATATATATATATACATTCGTACAATATGACATTTTCTCAAGTTTTTAAATCAGTTCACCAAACACATTAAAAAAAAATAAAGAGTTGTATTTCTTGCATCAATCATGGTAGTTTAATCTTTATATGTAAAACACCGTTTACGACCTCCAAAGTATTATGAGCTTGTCCTAAAACTTAAGGTTATTGTTATTATGGACAACATTATTGTGTTTTGTAGCTCGCGGACTGTGTAACAATTGGAGACTAAACTGTCACAATTGAGGTAAGAGGTAATTTATTTGTGTAATTACCTAAGTATAGTTACGTGATGGCACCTTTGTTACTTTAGTTTGAAACTGTGAATTTCTTGTTTTTGAAGTTGCAGATTTCAGGGAATTCCTCTTTGTGAATTTTGTTGACTCCGGTTACTATTTTGTACATAGTGATCATATCCCCTCTTTTCCTTTTATCTTCTAGCTTACGCATGTTTAACACTTTCGTGTCCCCGGTGGGAGGGCAGCTGTGCACCCCAAGGTAGCCCAAGCGATGTTTATACTCTTTTTTCAGCTTTCTTATCTCAATTTTCATGCTACGTTGTTCGATTTGGTATCAAATTGTTCGCAATAGAATGCTCTAAAGGAATATTTACATATAAGAACAACTTACCAATACCATAAGATAAAGTATATAAAGTAAAGAAGAGTGGCCGCCTCACACCTGATGGTCCGGGTGTTGCAACATTGTCACTAGTAGAACTGCTGTCATCCTTATGTTCATCTCCAGCATGTACGAAGTTGTCATTTTTGAGAGGCTAATCCTTATATTCAAAGTATACTGTACTAGTGACCAAGTGGTACGTTGTTCTCTGGTTCTTTCGTGGATCTGGAGGACTGAGAGTTTCTGTGGATCAGTTGTGTAGTACTGTACAGTACTTGTATAACACAAAAGCATCATGTATATCCATGTATAGCCACAGAGAATGGGAAGACGGTGGCTCACATTTTAGAACAAACCGCATAATAATCGGACAGTAAATGGAATTTTTACAAATATTTTACTTTTGGACGGCATTGCAATCCTCTGGATAACTACTGTACGTGTATTGATTTTATGATGTCACCACTGTTATGAGGTGCGATAGTGTTATCTCTAGCCTTTCCTCATAGTAGTACAGGTTCCTGAGCCTATTGGGCTCTCCACTTGTGCAGCTGTGTTTGGAGTCTGTCTTTACCACTTCAATTCCATTTTTTTACTACAATAACACAGAAAAAATATTTTCTAATGTTTCTGTAGCTCATTAGGATGCTCTGTTTCCACCTGTATCCCTTGTTCGTGTTCAACCCATTCCAAATAATGTCCATGAAACTCGCTGCCCTAAGGGAACTCTTATAACTTCTAGATAGCACGGGCTGCAAACCCTTATATGAGGCTTTGGTAGCCTTATATGAGGCTACCATTTGCTGTGGTAGTTTCCCCTTTGAATTTGTATGTTGTAATCCTGTTTCCCTTAACTCTTCTGTCTTCCAGTGATGCGAGGATTAATTCTTTAAGTCTTTCCTCTTGACTCAACCCTCTGAGAAGGAAGATGCGATTGGTCACCGATCCTTAACTGTTCACCCCATGTCCACTCGGCAGTAATGGGGGACCTGCATGTAAGCCAATTGGCTGATAATGTTCCATGGAAACTGGCAGAGTAAGACTACAAATAATCGGTGGGAGGGAGAGCACTGAGCCTGCAAACTGAAGTTGGAATTCATTTGCTTCTGTGCTCAACTGTGCAAAAAAAAAAAAAATTTGATTGGAGACAATTTTACCGATACAGTGTAGTAGAACCCCCCATTATCTAGATCCCCATTTTTCCACATTCTCAAGTTATCTGAACAATAATACTTGTGAAATGGTTTATCATTTATTATTTTTGTGTACATGTTTATATCTTGCAACAATACTGTACTTGTTTTGTGTGTGTGTGTTTGATAAGATAAAGATTCCAATGCAATGTGTATACTTTTACACTGGCATGTGTACAGTGCTAGATGTACACATCTAAATTGGCACATGTACCATATCACATGTATACAGATGTATTGACACAAAGTGTATCTCCCTGGCAGGATAACTACATTACTGAAGTCAACACAATGTTTGCCCGACTGGATGAAAGAAGAAGAGTACGTAATATTTTGGACATTTTCGTTGTTTACAATTAATTGTTTACGTTATTAATCAATAACGGCAAAAACTACCAAAGTTTCTGCAATATTTTATTATTCTAGGTATTGCAGATAAAGTTAGAATTAAGTACTAAATTAGTTACAGCATTCCCAGGTATAGTGCCTCTTTATGTGAAAAATAAATTGATGAAAGTACCAAGTACTTCTTGAAACGAATAATGAGCGCTTTATTTCGCCACATACTTTTTGACATGAAATGACAAGCTCTTAATTTGCAATTTCCTTTTTGCCATAACAAAACTCCTGTTGTCATTTAGTTTGTGGCACAAATAGCATACTTCCTATACACAGAGAAATCACAGAAGGGTGTTAGAGGTAGAACTAATGGTTGACAGGCCCGAGTGCATGGAGGAATTGTGTGAAACCCCAGTTCGGCTTCAGTGGAAGCCTTGGGATCCTCGTTGTCGCAGTAGTACCCCAGGTTGCAATTCTTTTCCGTGTTGTGGCGTAGTCGACTAAAGCATTGCCTGGGAACACCCAGCGCATAGGTTCGAACCCTCAATATGGCTCCTGTGGATTTGTTTATACTTCCCATGTTAACATGTGCTTCCAGTAACGACACGAGCTAAACGGATTATTATACAGTAAAATTGAACAAGCTAATTGAGGCCATGAACTGTTTAATAGTCACAGAATTATATTAGAATTGTGGTTAGTAAATACTGTACTGTACTGTAGATGGTTTTTCCACTTATTTTTTCCCCATACACTATTTCCCCTCCATATTTATTGTTTTAAATTTATTTTATTTTTTATAGAGCTTATATTTGCCTGTTGCATACAGTAATAATGTATCAGTAAAATATATATTTTTTTTAACCCATAGAAACGAGAAGTACCGGACTATTTATGCGGCAAGATCAGCTTTGAGATACTGCGAGAACCTGTCGTCACTCCCAGTGGAATTACATATGATCGTAGGGACATTGAGGAACATCTACAGGTTAGCTATTATGTTTGAGTATTGGATAATGAGATACATGTACAAGTAAGCCAGTAAGTATGACCATGGCTAGATCAAGGAACACCTACAGGTTAGCTATACAGTAATGTACAATTATAGTGTAACACAATTTTGGTTCCTGGATAGTAAGAGTTATTTTCTGAATGCTTCTGACTCCAGGGTATAGAAAATAGCAAATATTTCCCCCCCCTCCCCATTTTGCTTTGACTTTTGCCTACGACTGCTTAGGGAAGATGTCTTCCCTAAGACGTCTACCAACTCCTTATCTAGAGCTTTGGCGCATTGTTTCAGTCTTCAGATACCTTCAAGACAGCCACCCTAAGCTGTCTTAGAGGTACCTAAAATGTTGTGGGTTTGAACCCTCCTCGTGGCTCCTAATGATTTCCTCGTTAATACGTCATGTTAATGATATTTCATTGTACTTGAAAACAAAGCCAAGTTTGAGGGGAATAATAACCATTTTCTTTATTTTGAAGGCATAAGCAATCAGAAAATAAGTAACTACTCTGGAACAAAAGAATTTACTTGTTACGGTGCTATAGAGTATTGATCATTGAGGAACACGTATGGATAAACCATTACGTACGATCTTAGGGACATTGAGAAACGCTTGCAGGTACGTCATTACATACAGTCGCAGGGACACAGAGGAATACTTACAGGTAAGCCATTACATGTTATCGTAGGGACATCGAGGAACGCCTACGGGTAAGCAATCAAATGAGATTGTAGAATTTATTTGATATATGTATATACTATAGTTGATAAAAACACTTGCATTTGTAGAGGAAGGTGCAGCAGTGGTAAAGCAGACTGTATGTACAGCATGAAAGGAAGTGGTACATCTTGCAAATTTGTTCTTGTGTTTTCCAAATTTTGTGAAACTTGATAAGTAATGATGACCGAACCACAACTCAGAAGATGGAGAAGCGACGACTTTTCTCCATCCCGTGAGTTGTGGTTCGGTCATCATTTTTCCCGCCACGTTATTGTGACTCATCGTCTGCATCTTGATAATTTAATCATAAAGATGTTTGACAGTTAACTCATCTCAATATTGAAGTTCTTTAATCAAGTTTATACTGCCAGTAAAGCATGTATGTTAAAAAAAAAAGAGATCTACAGATACTGTAATAATTATGCACCTGTATTGTATTGTTAGTATTTCCACTAAATTCACATTAAAAGAATGGTTAGGTTTAGCGCTATACTGTCACTCGCTTTATTTTCGATTAGTAACAGAATGTAATTATGAGGAGAAAGTGCTAAGCTAGAATAACTTTATTGGATTGGTGACTTGATTATGGTAACATTTAGGAAATGATTTATCACAACGGAAATATGTATCTTTGCTTTTGCCATGCATAAAATAAGCAACTGTCTAATTGTAAATATAGCAAGCTGTGTGGGAATATGAACAGCTGTCCCTGTGGCACTAGTTAAGGTGACTTAACGTCTCTCCTTATTGACATTGGTTCAAATCCAACCTGTCCTCTTAAAAAGAACGTCGCTTTTGGCCATTTGCCCGTATGGCCGAATTTAGACGTAATTTGAAAATGAACAAAAAATGAAAATAAATTTGGGATTTTTTTTCTCAACAACAGTAAGTTAAGGGTCCTCTGATAGGTTAGGTGGGCAGGAAATTCTCATAAAGTTTCAAAACGTTATGAAAAACGTTAATTTAAAGTGTCCTCTTATAACCTCTGCGCGTACGCCGGACGACTCGAATAGAAAACGGAACAGAACGTCACTTTTGTGAGTCGATTTCATTTCAAATTACGTCCAAATTTAGCCATATCGCGCATACCAGCCAAAAGTGACGTTATTTTTAAGAGGACGGGGTTGTCAAATCCACACCAAACTTGTATTATTATGTATTTTTCGTGATGTCGGCTCATATTTAAGTAACATTTATGTTTCCTTCTTTCCAGCGTGTAGGTCATTTTGATCCAATTACAAGGACCGACCTCACAGTTGACCAGCTCATGCCTAATTTAGCAATGAAGGAGGTGGTCGACTCATTTCTTACAGAGAACGAATGGGCACTGGACTACTAGCCGTAACCAGATTTGTTAGCTTAAGAATGCTTTTCTTCAAGCTGCTACCAGCCATCCTTTATTCTTAGAGGTAACTGATGACTTATAAACTATGTATAGAATGTTGAAAACTTGCAATAAAGTAGACAATTGATATAACATACTGGCTTAAAATAGAGGTTAAAACATTAGTTTTGCCCCAGAGGTAAAGCTTCCATTCATCACTTTATGATGATGTTAGCATTTTAACTTGGGAGTCCACACACTTATAATTCCATATTGCCAAACCAAAATTAATCTGCATTTATGTATGAAAGGTATATCATATTAGAGGTAATGGAAGCACTAGCGGTGTTATTGTGTTAAGTTAAAATCACATGCAGCCTGTGCGTACTCTTAGGGTTAAGACCAGTTATAATCACAGTGACTAATAAAATTTAGGCAGATTAGTCAGACATCTTTTTTATGTAAAGAGTTCACCAGAGTCAGGTTTTAATTCAGGTAATTTCACTACATGAGTATCCAGGACATCGTTCCTTCCAGTTTTGTCTTGAACCCTTGCATGTAGAATGGAGGAGTTTTGCAAATGAGATTTTAGTTTTTGCACATAGAAATTATTTAATTATCTTTCGTATTCCTCTGTAATTGAATAAAAAATTTTAAGTACGGTAATATAACGCATGTTCACCCCTGCATCTAGATACAGTATATTTTTATTGTCATGATATTTTAATGATGGAGCAGCCTTGTCCTCAAGTGCTCCTGAGAATTCCTCACACTCCTCAATGAATCTTAAAAGTAAATTGGTGATTTTTTCTTTTTGAAAAACATTAAATACAGTATGGGAAAAAAATAATAAATATGAAACAAATTATCCTTCTAATGTCAAGAATTTGCTACATGAATTATAGTGGATTATTGCTGTAATGAACCTCGCTCTTATCAAAGTCGTGAATGGGTCAACATTGGTACAAATTGTTCAGTGGATCACAAAAAAGTTTGTGACGATTGTTCACCCATTGTTCCTCACCAAGACAGACCCCGGATGTGTTACCAGCCGGCCTAATCTACTTGTAAACTACTATATTATAAAGTGTATAAAATCTTTTAAACAAACTTAAATATGACATTGTTTTACAAATATATGTACACAAAACAGGAAACAAAAAAAAAGTAAATTATTCTTTACACAGTGGCTCGTCCAGGCCCAAAATAATTTTAGTGTCGAGTCCAAGTACTGATACAATTTATAAGAGCTTGACAAACGATTACAGTATACAAGTGCCATATTATTGTCGGACAGCAATCAAACGTGTAAACAAAAAATAAAGAAAACAAATATGGAAATGTTCGAATGCCGAGGACAACCTATGCCTTCAAACACTGGAGCTGCATCTTTGGATAAATCTTCCATGTTATTGTCATTATTGCAATACTGTACTGTATCTGCTCTTTTCTTTTGTGTATTGACAAGATGTCCTACAGTAGCAGTCATGGTGTTGAAGGGTGCAAGTGGAGGTACATTTCCTTTCTGCAGAAAATTGACATGACATAGGCGCAGGTATTGGGTGATGATATAGGAGCGGGTGTTGGGTGATGACACAGGAGCAGGTGTGGGGTGATGACACAGGAGCAGATATTGGGTAATGACACAGGAGCAGGTATTGGGTGATGATACAGCAGGTGTTGGGTGATGATACAGCAGGTGTTGAGTGCAGTCAACACTTGAGGGAGGGGGGGATCGGGGGGAAATCAGTCGGCTGGCTTCACTCACTCACTCATCGTCATTTGATGAGAAAGTTCTTTAAGATTAATTTGCATTTTTGGGCCTAATAACGATTGTGTGTGTATGTATGTATATATATATATACATACATACATACCTTAATTGTTTGCCAGTGATCACTCTATCCTATGCAACAATCAGAATGAAGAATGCATAATAAATGAATTTTCTATGAATTTATAAATTGAAACCAATTGACTTTTTGTTAAAAACTCTGAACCATTACATGTGCGCTGCAAATAATCATATAGGTATAATTCTGATGTGGAATTATTCACCAATGATTGCCATAACCTATGTAATGAATGGAAGAGTCAAAACGAAGATTGTATTATAAATGAATACTCTATAATTATCTTTTCTTAATTCAGTGTTGGTGGAAGATGGGTTATGACAATTTGTTCCTCCTTGGTAAGTAACAATCCAGGAAGGGGCTTTACCGTTCAGACAAGATCCCCTCAAAAATGAACTAGCTTTGTTCCCATATAGTTTGTTCGAGCAAGTCTCTTTTCTTTTTTTCCATAGTTAACAACCTCCTAAATTCGAGTTGGTCTGAATGAAGTTATCCCTCGCATGAATACTGTATTATGTTTCGTTCATCGTGACTACTAGAAAGTAATAACAGGATTCTTAGGCAAAATACCAGCTTGTAAGTAAAGTTCCTTTCAGAGGATGCCATGCAATAAGAGGTTTATGAGTATAAACAGCGTGGTTATGCTTTATGAATGACTTTTATGACCATTTATATTTATGACCATTTATGTTTATGAATAAAATCTTTGTGTACAATCTAGTAAGAATGGTTTTCTAGCTTTGAGATTATTTTAGCAGCAGATATCTGTTCTTGTTGGATACAGTAATTCATAAGCAAAACAAATGTTTGTAACTAAAAATAACATAAATACGACTGAAAGCATAAGGGGTAAAGCAGATTACTTAAGGCGTTTATATTTTGCTGAGATTTGATGTATGTTAAATGCTTTTCAGAGTTAGGTAAAAAGGCTCAACATTATTCGTCAGTGACTAATGCTTGAAAACTATTCTATATAATTTGTTATGAATTTTCTTAATCATGTTATTGCTTGTGATGCTTATTGACTAATGTTTGTTTACTCTCCCCATGTTGGTTACTTCATTATATTGGGACTCATAATAAGCAGCTGTGATTCCGATGGCTGTGGAATCATTGCCCGTTTGGTGAATGTTTTCTGAAGGTTGCGTTTAACCCTCTTGCTGCGATAGTCAGAATCATCTGAGTGGCGTCATTCCCTGCTAAAAGTGGAGTTATCCTAAACGCCAAGAAATATTATTTCCTATAACTTGTAACATTTTTGCCCAGATATTTGTCCTTAAGAATAGAAGTTTGGTCCTAGTACGAGCTTCCATCCGTTGGTGACACTTGAGATTGTCACCCTGTGCAGTAGATCATGGAATGAAAATATATCTCTCTCATCCCTCACATTCATGCCCATTGCTTTTTTTTGACATAAAGGTACTGTATGTTATTTTTACATCATGATATTTTGTGTAATAGTGATAAACAGTACATATACAGAGGAACCTCTGGTAACGAGCAGCCCCATCTACGAGCATCTCAGGTAACGAGTAAGCCACTCACAGAAAATTTGTCTCAATTCACGAGCTTCCACTTGGTTAACGAGAAAACCATGTGGTGCTTCCTAGCATCCCTCTGCATATATTTGTGCTTTTCTTTGTTTTTTTGTAAAGTACAATTGAAAACAGTAAACAAAATATTTATAATAATTACATGTATTATAATTACATTATAAAATTTCATATTGATGTTTTTCGGGGGTGGAATGGATTAATTGTATTTCCATTATTTTAAATGGGGAAATTCGTTTCACATGACGAGCTCGGTGCCGGAACAGATTCAATTCGTTAACTGAGATTCCTCTGTACTGTAAAATTATACATATTTGAGTTGATTTACAAGCACACCTTGACTTTTGTTTTGTAAATTTGTGTGTAAATGTTTTCTTCCTTGTATTTACAATTTGCTGCCATTATAAGTAGATATTTTATTACACTAATTTCCTGGTAAGACAATTAATAAACCTGTATGTACTCACCTAATTGTGCTTGCGGGGGTATGTGTATTACAGTGGTTGTAGGCCATCAGAAAAAGTTGCCTAACAAGCCAAATTTTTGTGAAATATATAACTTTTCTAAACATTTTTCTTATGAAATGAAAGTTTTTATTGTATTACTGTATATATGATTCCAATTTTGTTATTTGGGTCAAGACTAACGTCAAAATTTGATCAATCCTTACCTAACCTAATATAACTAAATCAGTAATTCATGTTCCTAATATATTAGATTATTATTATTAGAAAAGAACCAATCTGTCAAGAGAGATTTGATAACAAAAATCATTCTGCCTGTTAAGCACCTCGGACCTTGCATACTAAGCCAAGAAGTGCAGTTCTAGATATTAGGTACGACATTTTATTTATATTTATATGTACTGTATAGCCAGAACTGCACTTCTTGGCCTAGTATGTAGATTTGTATGTAGGTTTGAGGGAATGCACTGTATTATTTTCTGACCTAGTACTGCATGCACTCCCATTTTCTGACTTAGTACTGCATGCACTCCCATTTTCTGACCTAGTACTGCATGCACTCCCATTTTCTGACCTAGTACTGCATGCACTCCCATTTTCTGACCTAGTACTGCATGCACTCCCATTTTCTGACCTAGTACTGCATGCACTCCCATTTTCTGACAGTACTGCATGCACTCCCATTTTCTAACATAGTACTGCATGCACTCCCATTTTCTGACCTAGTACTGCATGCACTCCCATTTTCTGACCTAGTACTGCATGCACTCCCATTTTCTGACAGTACTGCATGCACTCCCATTTTCTTTCTTTAACAAATTTCTTCCCCGCTACCAGCTCCAAATTTCAATTTTCACTTCCCTCCTTTTGTTTTGTTTTGATGATTACCCACTCATCAGGGTAATGATTATTGGAAGACTAAACTTATTTTTTTGTTAAGGTATCTGGATTCGGATCACTTTCTGAAAAACTGGGCATATTTATGCTTGCCAGACAACCACTAGATGCTTTCAGCAGTGAAAGGGTTAAAAAAGAGTGCCTTCACTATGCAGGGGTTGTGAATTTTTTTTTAACTTTGGATTTATATGCTTATCAGTGTAGTTTTTACTTTGGTTTATATATTCTTTTACTGGATAACTGTAAATATTGTAGTATTAAAGCTGTTGTACATAAACTTGTACATTTTTCACTCATTACTGATTTATAGTAGACTGTTAAATAGCTAAAAACTTATTAGAAGTGTTTCCAGCCATATAATTTATCAGGGGACTTTTCGTCCAAATGTCAGAATTATATATACAGAGGGCCACATGCTTTCCAGGTGCCAGCTATCCGGATTTGCCCGTTTCCCATTTTTTATTTTTTCCAAATAAAAAGTTTGCTAAATTGGTGAGGTGTGAATAAGATGGTGTGATAAAGTCATGAGGTGGGCAATCTAAATAAAAATATGCGAGAAAGTCGTGAGGCGAGAACCCGCCAGGCCTCAATGCCTAGGGGTGTTCGAGTGAGAGATGGGCCAAGTTTGCCCAGGGATTGTATCGAGCGCCACTCTAGTGCCTTTTACCCATGTGATGTCACAGATTCATGGCCCATTCTTTTGATTTGTCATGAGACTAGTGTTTATGCTGTGGTTTTGTTGGATATACCTGTACTGTATTGTCAAAATCAAGGAGCCTCCATGCACCACTTGTTGGCTCCAAATGTACTCATTGTGTCGGTGAAAGCATCAACAAGCAGAATATAGAAAAAAATAGTTCAGTGATATCTGAGAAGAAAATTTAACTAATAATTAAAAAAGTGAAGGGTGGAATCCCGAGAAGTGTTGTGTGCGCTGAATATATCGGATATTATTAAGGCTAAAGCTACCATCTTTGACTATTTTTCCTAGAATTGAAAGTGATAAAGCAATGCATAATAGAGAGGCAGCAAGTAAAGTAAAGGTGCAGAATGTTGATAATGCAGTGTGGCAGTGATACAAGCAGAAGTAAGAGGAGACTTAAAAAGTTAGTGACAGGCTGGCTGTTCATGGAAAAAGCATGAAAGTTTCACCAATCTTTGAAAATTCCTGAGGAGTGTTTATGCACTGACGGATCATTCAGAAGCTTTAAACTCCACCATGGCACTAGGTACATTAGAGTACATGGTGAAAGGTCGTCTGCTGATGCTACAAGTGCAGAAAAAATATTTAGGTCAATTTGCAAAGATGGTGCAGGAACAAAATTGATCTCGAAATCAAATTTATAATGCTGAGGAGACTGGTTTTTGCTGGGGTATGTTACCCACAGACACGATGGCTCACAGTAGTGAAGATGATCCTTCGGGTGGTTATAAGCCGAACAGAATTTGTTTTGCAGTGCTAATGCAGCTGGCACTCACAAATTGAAATTACTTGTGATTGGGATTAATAAAAATACCAGAGCAAAATATCAACAACAATCAAGTTAATAAGTGGATCATAACTGCTCATATTGGTGAGTACAAACAAAATACCGTCAGATTTTTCCCCTAGATTTTCAGGATAAGCCATTTTTCCTGGACACAACAGGTTATTCGTTCGGTCTCATTCCCAAGGCGTCCGGAAAGCATATGCTCTCTGTACATGTGTACATAATGCAGCTTTAACAGGTAATGTGCTTAATAAACATTAACACTTCATACTTACTATTCCTCAGTACTGTACTGTGAAAGCATATACCATATTAGTAAGGCACACTTTTCATTGTTTTAAAACATAAGAAAATGTTGCTGTACAAATTGATTGTTTTACACTTGTCCATGTCCTTGACTACTAATCACCAGCAGAGGAACTCAAGTGTACATTTTGCCTGGCTGTTTCATAATCTGGATTAACAAAAGATTATAATTATTGTATTAAAAGCATTCAGCTAATTCTTTTGAATTCCCTAAAGCAGGTGTATTTAACTAGTAAAACCCCCAATGGAAGAAGTAACATGTACCCAAATGAGGCGGCTCGAATAGTGTAACGCCATGCAGTGACAGTGTGGACTAGTCGAGTAAATACAATAAATAATACTGGAATAGTTGTTTGATAATGCCTGGTTTGAGCTCGAGCTTGTAAAAGTAAAGAACATTTATTTCCTTGTTCGATGGGATGCATAAAATAAAATAATATATGCGCAGTGTGTATGTATAATTATTATATATATATATATATATATATATATATATATATATATATATATATATATATATATATATATATATATATATATATATATATATATATATATATATATATATATATATATATATATATATATATATATATATATTATACACACATACATACATATTATATATACATACATATTATATATATATACATACATACACACATACATACATACATACACACAAACAGAATTCCTATTTTACTCATGGTCTCAAAAAGACAGAGGCCACATGCGCAGTTGAAATTGCACATGCAAGTGATAATGAGCTTGGTCCCCTTAGCTTGCACTCTGGCGAAACGAAGCCTTGAGATGTGTACGAGGCTTCCAAGATACCAGATACTGTAATTGTGTGTACACCATCTAATCACACTAGATCTCTTAACTTAAACACCTGTTGTGGGTATTAAGGTGAGAACTTCTGGCTGATCCCCGAGATCAATGCACAGATAGACACTTAAACAACAGTGTACTGATAATTCAATTAGTACAATACTTACAGTAAGGCCAGCTTCAACATGCGTATACCATTTACACAGACAGCATGATGCATACTTGTCCGTAGCGTAGCATGGGTATCAACAGTAGCTTGGCAGTCCTCTCTCTCTCAAGCACTACTGGGTGTGGCTAACCATGCGATAATTTTGGTAGTGCTGGATCTCTCGTACAACCGCACGTGGTATTATGAAGAATGACGGATAGGTAGTAGGTAGCACATACACAATGGACTGTGTTATTGCACACACAATGGATGGATGCTGTTACGTGGCCTAGACTAGCGTGATGACTTAAGCTATCAGCTTGTGGCTGACAACACACATGGCAGCGGTGGGTGTACATGGGCAATTCACTAGGTTAGACACAAAGGGTGTTGACAACAAGGTTACTTTCCTCTCCTTTTGTAGTAATTATATTCACCCAGAATTAATGTGGCAGTCTCAGTCTTTGAAACATTTGTAGTTACTATGTACCATTGCTTAGTATACTAATGACTTGGATGTTACACAATTCATGGAACACTTTTCTTCATTGTGTAAATATGGCCAAGTGTATCACAGAGTACTCTTAAAAGAACAAGTTTTGAAAGGTGGGAAAGAAAGCACCTAAAAGGCAGATTTTGCAATTTCACCAGCTAGCTCATTGGAGTCTTACTAACTCTCATTTGTACATAATGAAACTTATATATGGGCCAATATTGTTTTTCTGTAACCAAACGTCTGAGAATGATAAGAGTTACCAGTCATTGTTGAACTACAAACTCTGGTTATTTTTTTTAAGTCTCATTGTGCCATTACCTCAATTGCCATAACATATGCTCTTGCCATTCCCCTTCCCTGCCTCGCTATTAATACTTTTCCATCCCACTATAGCTTCTTCAATCTACATCATTTGCTGTAATTTTTTTGTAATTATCGGGGGAAAGTGCCAAGCCATTACGACTGTAGCACAAGGAAGGGGTCAGGATAAGGATTTGGGATGGGGCAGAGGGGAGGAATGGTGCCCAACCACTTAGATCGTCGGGAATTGAATGGCGACTTTCATGAAGTGAGACCAGTCAGAGTGGTTGGGTACCATTCGCTTTAATACTGTATATGACATTAACCTCCGACTCAAAACATCCGACTTGCAATTGCGTTACAATAAAAATAGAGTAAAAAAAAAAACTAGGGAGCTCAATTAAAACCAAGATAAATAAATTTATTTTTATATTATAGTTTGCCTTTAGTAATGTTAGCAAACGGATACCAAAGAGGAAAGAGATCTGTCAACTCATTTTTACAATATCTACAGCACAGGGTTACAAGGAGGTCTGGTTCAGTTTTCAAGTTATTTCCATACCTGTGATAATTTAACCTTAAACTTGTCACTCATTAATAATGTTATAATGAACGTTCAATAAAGACTGCACAGCTTGTGATCGTTTAGCCAAAATAGTGATAAATACCTAACAAGACTCATTTACAAGGTCACATTCTGTAGTGGGAACAAAATGCTCGTGCTACAGTATATTTATACAATGTGCTAATTGGTTTCAAGTTTTAAGGTTTAAATCAATAAATATTCATTTATGAAAACAAGTTGCTAAATTTAACCTACAACAAGCAACCCTTCATCGGTGAAAACATGAGTAGGAACCTCCAAGTTAAGTGGTGCAGGGCCTTTACGGATGCGCCCCGATGCATCGTAGTGGGAACCGTGGCACGGGCAGTAATATCCACCAAAGTCACCTGAAATGATATGGCAAGTTGAATTTTTGTGCAGCACAGTATTGTATTTCCTCCTCAAGTATACCTCGGATATTACAGCATTTGACCACTCCCCAGGATGCCATCCACAACAGTCGACTAACACAGGTTCCTAATCACTGCTAGGTGAACTGAGGCAATGGGTGCAAGGAGACTTGTCTATACGTCTTGCCGTGCCTGGGATTCGAGCCCAGGATTGTTCTGCTGTGAGCCGACTGCGCTAACCACTGCATCACAGGTTACCCTAGTATTTATTAATTCTAGTGTATTATTTATTATCAACTAATATTTAACAAACTCGCACTTTTGATTATAACATAAGCAGCATCACTAATTATAAAGCAAACTTTCTGAAATTTCTTTAAATATACTACAACTTGTTTTTCTTTAGGACTACAGTAAAACTATTGCTCATGCACTCCTATAACTTTTAACATACACCCTAAAAATGCCTATTTTAACCTAAGAAACTCACCTGCATCTGCAATAGGCACACAACCAAGATGAGTGCACACGCCAAGAACCACCAGCCACTTGGGTTGTGTACAGCGAACATTGTCGTGCTCTGGGTCACGCAATGTGCTTAAATCCACATTGGCCTCTGTTTCAACCTCTTCATCAGTCCTGTAATGGAATAAAACAATCTTTTCTACATACCTAATATACATATGATTTATTGTACATGATATATAAGCTGTTGGGGATTTATACATCAAAATGTGATGTACTACTTTAGAGGGTAGGTTGAACATAACCTAACTCATGCAATCCTATTTTCTGCTTAATTTACTTCATAAAATTGGCACAATCACCAAGCCCCACTGGGTTCCCTAATGCAGTACTCGGCAACTATTCTTTCATGAATTTTCACTCAACCTACTAATTAACCCACATTTTATCTACACATCACAATGAAAACTTATAAATTATAACCAAGATATGCTACCAGACTATTGCCACTCTTTGTTATAAGCAACTCCACTGCCCCTTAAAATTAACAAACATTTTTTTATCTCGTATGCTCCTTTGTCAATCTTAAATATATTACTTCACTATTTGCTTAACATTAAAATTGAAAATATCACATTAACTTGGCATATGTGTGTACCCCTTCCAACAACCTCCATTAATAACTTGAAAACATATATATAACAGAACTTTATCCCACTGTAGAACATATCTGAATTGTAATTCTCAACTTCAAATATTCAAATAACTAATTTTCCCACAAAACCTCACCTGTGTCTGACAAAAAGAGGTTTGCCTCTCCATTTAAAGGTGACCGACTTTCCTTCAGGAATATCGTCTAACTTGACTTCAATCTTTGCCAAGGCTAACACATCAGCAGACGCAGACATGGACGAAACAAACTGTGTAACCACCGTTTTCGCACAGTACATCCCAGCGACAGTGCTACCTGTTAAAGAAAATTGTAAAAGTTTCAGAAATTTCATGATTTAAGTGTTAAAGCTCTCAACCCTTGCACTGCACATAAATGAGGCCTCCAGTATACATTTGCAATCTTGGAAAATGGCTTACAATTTTTAGGATATTGTTCCCAAGTTCAGGGCATGGTTTTAACAATATATGAAAACAAAAAAACTTGTTTTGACTGCTTACTGTGCTTGTACATATAATGAAATTTAATCCTTAAATTATGCAAGGATTACAAGAGGCAACTACATTAATTTTATATTATATATATATATTATATATATACTGTATACACAAGAGTTCTTACATTAAGATACTAAATGGGTTTTGCTCTCTTCAAGACACCTTTAGTACATTGATAGTACAATAATTTTTTTTTCTTTCATTTAACCCTCTCAACTGTTGGATACCAACAAGAGTTCGATTATTCCCCACTCATAAAATGCGAACTAGGGTGCTCATAATTAATGTAGAAACCTATTGGCCAAAACTACATGCTTTGTATAAAAGTTTTAAAGTGCTTATCCACACCAAATCTGCATTCTCCAATTTCACAAAACAAGGGCTGAATATTATATTGATACTACAGATGCAAATGTATACGTGCTGCATTCCCGAGAAATCAATGCATAGGGAGTCTTGTACTGGAGTAAGCCCACGTATTCACTAGCCAGAAATTTGGTTGTAACTAGCTCATCAAGATTGTAACTTGTTTAGCTAAATAAATTCTGGGATTCAGTCCCTGAGCCCATTATGTGCTTCTGTAACCCTTTCCACTCCCACCCACAAGATGGGTATGGGGTGCATAATAAATGAACTTAACTAACATTACAAAATATTTAAAAGCAAACATAAGTGACTTTTGCATCAAGCTGTAGACAAAACCCAATTGTTTCATCTGCACTAATAAAAGCATTTTGTATAAAAGCAGCAAACTTGGGATGCGATGTTTTCCTATACAGTAATTCTGTAGTTGGCTACTTTAATAAGATTTATCTGTTGCAACAGTAAAGTCTACAAGACACCATACCAAAAGACTGCTGGTGTATGATATTTGGTTTCATGCATATACACTAAATCAATTTGTATCAATAGTACCTCTATTACTAGTAATAAAAGAGTCCATGACAATTATTGCATTATTAACTAAATTGCAAATGTGACATTTTACAATTATGTTGTCTAAAGTTGTTTTAATTTTGCTGTTTACATGTGTGTAATACTCACATTAAAAATTTGGTCTTGTTACAAAAAATAGGTTTTAGAAATAAACATTTTGGCATTTATAGTAAGTTTGAAAATATAAAACAAAAAAAACAAAAATGTCCTTACCTCCAACAATCATGTATGTGAAATTTTTTCGGGCCGATGAAGACTCTTTAGCCTTGGCGTGAGGGTCCTTTACAGCATCCCGTCGATATGCACTAAAGTCTGGTACTTGGATATCGGTGTGGGCACATCGTACTTGCGAGCTTACTGTAATTAGACCCATAATTAGTTGCTGGGGAGCGGGGTAACTTAAATTGACAGGCCCTACTGTTGTACTGACTGTACTGTACTGTACTGTTGCCCTACTACTGTACTGAAAAAAAAAAAAAAAAAAAAAATCACACACACACACACACACACTAATATCAATCTTTTAAGAAGTACAGACTCTTTTTTCACATGATAATAACTTTAGAAAAATGAACCTGCATCAGTGTTGAGCTTATTGACATAGACGAGAGAAGATCTAAATAGCAATATTTTTCAGATACTCGTTTTCCTTTTGAGAATTAATTATAGGGAAGATAGGCAGTGTGTGGTAGTCTTTAATGTGTGTGTCATTAGAGTAGTGGCCTCAAAAAATAAAAATAATAATAAATAAGTAAAAACTGTATAGTTTTTGTAGTATAGTTTCTTAATATTTAGCATTTTTAGAGTATTATAATTTTTAGTTTCTGTATAATACAAGCGTTGTAAACAATTGTAATATGTAAACAATTTTGAATAAAGTTTCCAAATTAAAAAAAAAGACCAATAGGCCTTTACATTTCCCTGTAACATCGAGGCCACTAGAGTCACAGTGGCTCTCAGGTAAGTTCAGGTAAACTCCGGTACTCCTCAGAAAGTTTCAAGACAGTAAACAAGTTTACAGAACATTTCTGCAGAATGCAAGACAATTTTAAGTATCTAAATCTTAATAATACTAACGATTATACTTGAATAACCTCTAGAAAGAGGAGATACGAATATATATATATACAAAACTTAGTTTACCTATATATATACCATATAGGTAAACTTTTCGTTCCAACATGGCCGACTCGAACCCTGATCAGCTGATCACCACAACAAGCCGACGACCCAGACCAAATTACCACCAGGACGCCCTAACGACCCACATTAACGACCCCTCGTCCACACCACCTTAACGAGGATATACTCGAGCATACCTGCTATACCGGCCTTGGCCCTGAGGAGACCGGTGGAGGGGCAGCGGAGGGCCATGGCCGCGGGGGTGAGCACTGAGGGCGGCGGCTGATGGAGGACCTCAGCTGGTGCTTCACACACAGCTGGAGCCAGACTCCTCAGCCCTCCGGCCACCACCTGGCTCGAGCCCTTCAGGGCAGGGGCCAGCTGGCTCGACCGGCCGATGTAAGATAACATGTCTGCTGGCGGGGAAGCTGGGGGTCTGCTGGTGTCTGGTGTCTGCTGCTGGCTGATGGCCGCTCACTGCTCGCCGGTCAGGTTTGCCAGATCCAAATTCTTGAAAGTAGCGAATTTGTAGCAAAAGTAGCCCAATATTTTTTTAGTGACTGATATGGGATTATAAGTAATATATTTTGATATACAGAGTACACTACACGATGTTAATTGCTTTAATATTATTTCTGCACACACACACACACATATATATATATATATATGTCGTACCTAGTAGTCAGAACGCACTTCTCGGCCTACTATGCAAGGCCAGAAAGTTTGTCTTAACATCTTTCATATTGCAAAATCCTATCAAAATATCTACAGTAAAATCATTGTAGGAAGATGCCCGAAACGCTGTACATATTAGTGGCTTTAGGCATAGTATGTACTAGCTATATCTACAAGTCCAACATTCTGCTTGTAACTTTTTGAATGTATTTACTTTTACCTGAATAAACATTATTATTATTATATAGATATTAAATGTGGGCTGACGTGCTTAGCGCACTGCTTATACTGTTGTATATCTTATTATTATCTATCAGCGAGAGCTTTGTCTCTTATTACAGAACGAATAGACTCAAGATGGTGCAAACAATACAACTGCAATAATCCATTGGATTATTTGCAATGTTTGCAACTAGACCATAGTTGCACACTTCATTGATTTTTTGCCGCCAGAAGTGGATAGTTCATTAAGCATCCCCTATTCAACCAGCGAGTGCATGGTAGTTTATTGTGCACCCCGAAGCCCGACCAGTTGTGTAACCGGACCCCGACCAGTTGTGTAACCGGACCCCCGACCAGTTGGGTAACCGGACCCCGACCAGTTGTGTAACTGGACCCCGACCAGTTGTGTAACCGGACCCCCGAACAGTTGTGTAACCGGACCCCCGACCAGTTGGGTAACCGGACCCCGACCAGTTGTGTAACTGGACCCCGACCAGTTGTGTAACCGGACCCCCGACCAGTTGGGTAACCGGACCCCCGACCAGTTGGGTAACCGGACCCCCGACCAGTTGTGTAACTGGACCCCGACCAGTTGTGTAACTGGACCCAGACCAGTTGTGCCCAACTCAACCGACCCAGAGACCCCCGGCCTAAAATTATTTGAACGCCATATTGAAATTCCTAGCGTATAGCGCCAGGAGTTTGTAAATTATTTTTTTTTTTTTTTTTTTTGAGATATATACAAGAGTTGTTACATTCTTGTACAGCCACTAGTACGCGTAGCGTTTCGGGCAAGTCCTTAATCCTATGGTGATAATATTTATATATGCATTATAGGCCTTTCTAAAGTAATTTATAGATCTGAATATCATATATTGTCTAACAAACGAATTATTTAAGGTAATATTTTAATTATGCCAGATACAAGTCTCATCGCACACAAGAAGATTCGTTAGCGTATTTTTTATATTTTTTTTTATATTTATATATAAAAAGAGTTCTTAAATTCTTGTAATAAGCCACTGGCATGCATAGCGTTCAAGCAGGTCCTTAATCCTATTTTTTTTCCGGAATACGACCCGCCAAATCGTTGTACAATCTATTCTCTGTCGGGTAAACAGTTAAGGATTGTTGCCCGGTCAATCCTTCCCGGCCGGCAGGTCACAGCGCTGGCGAAGAGCCGGGCGCGGGCTTTACCACTGAGCCACAGAGACTGCTCCGTGGCGTGGTGGAATTTTGAATTTTTAAACCTGACTAACCTAGCTCAACCCAACCTAACGTAACCCAAATCAAGCCAATTTTATCCATCCGAGCCCAATGCAGCCTAACCTTAATAACATATATATAACCTAATACAGCCTAGCATAACAATACATCCCGGTTTCAAAGCTCTTTTCTAGCTCTATAAATCCCTCAACTTTTTGTATCTCACCTTGTATGTATGTACTTTACCTGAATAAATATTTGTATTTGTATTTGTAAAACAGAAAATGAGTTTAGCCGAATCGTCTCGTATCCAAAACGACCATATCCCGACCAGTTGTGTACCCACAGGCCTAGCAAACAAACACCTCAAATGTCAAATTTCAAATTCGAATGTTTATTTAGGTAAAGTACATCCATAGAAGGGGTGATACAAATACCTCACCTAACCAGACAAACACCCCTCTAACTCCACCAAGCACACTGAGAGCTCTACCAGAGTAGGGAGGGTCCATAGATGAGCACGTGGTTGTAAGTATAGGTCTACAGGCATGGGTCCCAGTGCCCATCATCTGGGTTGAGGGCCAACAGTGCATTGCTTTGCTCAGAAAGTATAATGCTGCTAACACAGCCTTGCCTTCAGTAAGCAAACTTTTCAGGATTATTTAATTAGCTAAGATTTACCTGAATTTATCAGTCACTATCTCTCAGTGAGGATAGGAAGCCGGCGGCTTGTCATATGTCCCCTATTTGCCCTGGTGATTTTATCGAGCAATGTTTTGGCATTTACGGCTTCGGCGGGTATGCGTTTCCACAATTTTATAATTCTATGGTGAAAACTAATATTTCCATCCTTCAGTGTGGCTTGTTGAGCTCGATACCGTTGCTCCTTGTTGGTCTTACATCTAGCCTTTTGAAGAAGTGTTCTGGGTCAATATCTTCCAAATTGTCCAGTAATTTAAAAGTTTTGCTGAGAGCAGCCCTGTCATGTTTGTGGCCCTCAACCGTTCCTGGTGTGAAAGTTGACTTAGCTCGAGAAATATTTTAGTCGCCCGGTGTTGAACTTTCTCCAAAGCAGATAAGTCTTTCTGGAGATGAGGTCTCAATGCGTGGATATAATAATCCAAATGGAAGTACACCAGAGATTATACAGTTGTATATAACTACCTTTTCCTTCGTCAAAATTTCGTTTGACTATTCCTAGTTGTTGTTGTTGTTGAAGATTTAGCTACTCAGGACGAAGTGTCCATGTAGCACGGGCTATGGTGAGCCCGTAAACTATTCCTAGCATTTGGTGTGCTCTTATAACTGTAGCTTCCACTTGTTGTACAACTATCAGTGATTGGTGGAGTCTGACTCCAAGATAATGTTGATGATTTGGTAGCTGTGCAGTTATGCCCCACATGGGTGAAAAAACATCTGTTTTCTGTCCTAAGTTGTGACTTGTTGAACATGAAATCGTTGTTCTTTGTGATTGATTGATGAAGATTAAGCCACCCAAGAGATGACACGGGCACGAATAGCCCGTAAGTGGAAGATTTTTTTTTAGAGTGAATGTGATCTTTGGTCGTGAAAGGATATACTGCGTGCTGTGCTTGCATTTAAATCGTCAGTTTGTGGCTGCTATCTCGGGGTGCTTGCTTGTGTTGCATCTGACCATAAATAATTATCGAAGAGATTCTTAACATTAATGGCCCAAATTGGCACATCTTGCTTTTAAATTAGCCCAAAAAGTAGCAAGTAGCGAAATTAAAAATTTGGGAGCGCGGGGATCTCAAAAGTAGCCCAATTCGCTACTTGTAGCCCAATCTGGCAACACTGTCGCCGGATACAAAGTCATCTCGTACACAAGACGATTCGGCGCTTCTAACCTACCTAACCTAATTTACCTCAACCTAACTTAATCTAATCTAACCTAACCCAGTCCTATAGAGCCCAACCTAGGCTAAACAGCCTAGCATAATAATATATATATATATTCGGTTTTAACGAACAAAACGAGCATCGTCTTGTGTCTGAAACGTTCTGTTCGCCAGCCGGCGCTGCGCATATTTCTAGTTTCGTACATTATAATAATCCAGTAATTCGTTTTTTATGGGGGGACAGGCAGCCTGTGTATGTATGTACGTTAATATATGTGGTAATGGTTGGCTTTTTTTGCTGTTATAGCAATATCTTTTTCGTAATTGGTGATACTCTTCTTATATTACTGCATTTAATTCATTCCAAATTAATTCAATTCAATTGAATGTACTTAATTTATTCCTAGTTCTGTTGCATCTTTTGCTGTTTTTCTCTGCCCTTTATCCTCTGTATTTCATCCACTCCCTCGACTGCTCCTAATTTTTGCTTTTTGACACACTATTAAACCATCTAAGGTTATTATGTGGCTTTAGGCATTGTATGTACTAGCTCTATCTATAAATCGACCAATTATTGTAAAATCTCTTGTATGTATGTACCTTACCTGAATAAACATTTATTTATTATTTATTTATTTATTATTATAGTCTCTCCTACTTTATTCCCTACTGTCGGTATGAAGTTCTCCTCGGCCTCCTTATTTGTGTTTGAAAGTGATTATGTTTGTGTGTGATTGTGTTTGTATTGCGTGATTGTGTGTTTGTTTGATAGTGTGCATGTGTGTATTTACTATTTGTGTCTGCTGAATCGAGCTATAGTCTGAATTGCCTCCTAACCCGTCTTGCGAGCTGAAGATGAACCTCTATAGACCGAAACGCACGATGTTACTTAAGCTTCAACGCTTAGCTTCAAGGGATCCTTGATTGTGATTCGAGAACAAAGCCAACTCAACTACGAGATTTGGTAAATTCAAGCACCATAACCATAGAAGAGAGAGAGACCGATCAGAGGAAATATGATCACAACATACAAAACATTGAAGATAATTACATTGACAAGGTGGGCATGGACAATCATTTCAAAATGCCAGAAACAGAAAGAACTCAGATGGAATATATAAACAATTTTAGAGATGTAAGAAAATAACAACATGAAGTGAAGGTGGTCAACAATAATGGGTGTCTTGGCACAAGTTCTCAAGTTACTTTCTGGTAACAGTTTCAAATCAAAATTAAATTAAAGAAAATTATATAGACCGTTAAGAGATTTAAACGGAACAGGTATGAAAAGAAGGCGGAGCCCAGGAGCCAGATCAAACTCTCCGTACAAACTGAAAGGTAACAATATGTAATTCCCATTTTTTTAATTGAATAATAATCTCGAGGAAATATTTAAAAAGTAGCCTAATTTTCGTTTTTTCTATCTAGTTACATTTCCCATTCAAAACAAACATACTAAGTCTTTATTGAAAGTGAAATTTCAAAATGAAACGTAAATAATATGCAAACGATGCAACTGCTAATTGGAGACAATTGTAGGCGAGGGTGAGCGAGGGACGAGGTTGTATAGCTGGGCGGGTGGGGGACCAGTTGACCAACAGGCGGGCTGGGGGTCATATACTCGCTCTCTGGGTGCTTATTCTGCCTCATTATGGCTGTCTTACGGATATGCCTCGTTGTTGTCATTGTGGTAAGTGGTGGAAATGATTTGGTACTTTTGTAAGGGTGTAAAATTGTCTTTATAGTTTGTTAATCTTGAGGAATTTCCCTGGTCGAGTAGCCTGACGGAATTACTGAACATGTTAAAGACTGAGAAGCCATTAAGTTTTAAGTGGGAGTAGGATGTTGGATTGGTTCATATGTACATAATGTACGGTTTCAAATTGTTGTTTTCAATATAAAACGCCGTTTCGGGTTAGTGCTTGAAGCGAGGCGTGGCCAGCGGCAGGCCTTAACACTGAGGTTGGTAACTTGTACGAAATCCATAGTTTTTTAATCTCTTAAGGTTGCGAACGATTTTTTTGTTGCCACCGGAGGCGGCTAGTTTGTGCACCTCATATTCGTCCTGTGAGCAGTAGCGCTAAAAGGATTACAGAGAGCATGAAAGGTCTTTATCAGATTTCAACGGTAACTTTACGAGGGAGATTGCTCTCAACCTGTCCTCGTAACTGTAACGCAATTCGTAACCTACCGCAATGCTCAATTTCTCGTTACAGTGTGTGGGGGAGGTAGTCATGCAGGTGCACACACACGTACCGCCATATTCCCCAGGTGACCCAAGCATACAGGCACCTGTACAACCCAGGGAGCAGCAGGTGCCGCCAGAACAGAAATATCTGCCGCAGTCGCAGCATCAACCAGAACCACATGAACAGCAACCCTTGCAACAACTGCTGCAGTTGCAGTTGCAGCAGCAACAGCAGCAACAAAGTGACCCTCAGCCCCGTGGTTACCAAGCAGAGTCGCATGCTCAGCCCTTGAGCGGTATGTAGATAACTGTTTTGAGTTTGACGGTAGCCTAGTGATTTGAATTATAGGTATGCAATAAGTATAAAACTGGGCGCCCTCGCAAAATGCCACTCGCAGCAATCTCGGTCATCTACTCAACCTGTCCTCGGGCCAAGTTCATTCCATCCAGCGGTCGAACCCAAAGACTCGTTCCTAAATTTTAACATGCTATTCATTCAAAAACGCGAATTTTCTCAAATATAAATTAGCATAGTATGCGTATTTAGGCATTGGCTTGGTTGGGTTTTTTGGTTGGCGATTATTTGCATTTGTAGTACGTGAGTGAAGCATTTGCAGCGTTGTGGTGCGACCAATAGTAGTCAGTGCAGCACTTGTTCCGGAAGTGTTCTGACGTAATCGGTTGTAAATAGTGTAAAGTTTTTCTTTCATAAACAATGTTTGGCGGGTGCATGGAATGGACTTTGGCCTTTGAGAACGGGATGATCTACTTCCTCTTAATTCACTCGCTTATAATTGAAACTAAAAATTTTAAATGCCAACCTTGTCATGAAAGCCTATAATAACCTTTTATATTCTTAGCCTTTACTTAAATCCGCAAAGCAGGAATAGCAGCATTTCTGAAGACCAATATCAGGTCGACTCGTATTACCAAAAATATTGTACAGGAAGACTTACCAACTTTTACTCTAATTTTGAACCCTTTTTTATTTTTGCTGAAAATTCCTAGATATAATGCTTGCCTTGATACAAGGCTCCTGATAAGGTCTATCAAGTACTAATTTGACTTTCGAAATGGACTTTGAAGATAAGCCGTTTCATCACAGCCGACTGGTCCCGGGTTTGACTCCCGCAGCAGGACAAGATAGGTTTGGGCAAGGTTTCCTTTCACCCCATGCCTGTGTTAGCCATTAAAGTTATTTTGGAGATAGTAAAACTTATGGGTTGCTTTCTGGAGGCTAGTCGTTGGCTTAAAGCAGTGGTTCCCAATAGGGTGACCCACATGGACCCAAAAATGTTCATGGGATTAAAAGTATCGAACTCTTAACAAAATAACCCTTTATGAATATTGAAACTAGGTGTAATAAAGGTCCCATACACCATTAGTTTAACTTAAGTCTAGTTGACCATTCCACTCGAAAAGGGCCAATGTAGGCCTATATTTCTATAAAGGTTCCATTGGTTTAAATGTAATCCCCACCCCCTCCCCAGGTTAAATTTTGTTGGATAGACACTAAAATCTTTGATTACTTCTGCAGTTGGTCACGGGGAGCAGTGGGCGCCGGTGACGCTGCAGCAGCAGCAGTCTACCTATGGTCCTGGACACCAGCAGTCTACCTATGGTCCTGGACAACCACTACACGAGCCCCGGCAGCGTCGCGTGGAGGACACGCTGGTTCAGTGCCTGAAAACCCACATGTTGGTCACCTTCAGGTAGGGTCTCGCCTCGACCACTTGTCTTGACTAGGCTAGTAAATATTTGCGGAAGGAATCAGACGAAGGAATTGTCTTTCAGATCTAAACCGATGTTGCTTTTTGTTTTATAAACGAAAGGTATATGCAGTAATGTGCCGGTACGCTGTTCTATATGAAGCAAGAGTGTAGCCCAAACACTAGCAGAGTTCATCTAATATCCCCCATCTTATAGAATGGTTAGTTATAAATATGATTAGGAAAGCATGAAATGTTAGCCTAATCTATTAGCCTGCACGAGTAAGCTCTGGCTTCAGCACAAGAATATCTTTCATATTGTGCATGTAGTTGCCGAGCTCAAAGTACCTCGTTTGTCTACTTCAATTTCGTGAAAGTCGTTGGCATCACCTGAAGCCTTATCGACAAGCCTCAGCCATACATGCTGACAGTCGTCGCCACACTCAATGCGGTAGATCTTGCCGTAGATTCTAGGTCAGGTGTACACAGGCAGATGTCAGATGTGACCACGTGCAGTCCTAGAACCATTTTTTATTTTCATAAACTTCCACATTAACTACATCTTGTAAAAATCCTACTTGTGAACCTTTATTTACAGTGAATTTGTGGTCGAGGCCATAATCCTACTTTGCCAGACTTGTAAAACTTGAAAGTTATTTCTATTCAATTTGTACGGTATATTACGTTCCTGTGCTTTGCTTTGCTTAGAATATTTTTATTCTTGGTATATTGTCTTACAGATTCACGGCAGCGTTCTCTGGGTACATCTACCCCCACCAGCACTTCAGGGAGTGTCTCCTCTTCCAGGGCCAGAATTCCCGGAACGCGACTCTTCAGTTGAAGCACGGCACTTGTGGCGACCAGGAGAAGAGGGTTGTGCAGCAGGGCAAGTCCTACCTTGATCCTGTTATTGAGGTAAATGTCTGCTGCCTTCCTGTAGGTAAATGTCTGCTGCCTTTCAGTTTCCTCCCGAAGTAGAGGTGTACACTTCAACATTTAATGAATCTTTAGGCTACCAAAGTTTACAATCTAAAGGGTAAGTTTATTTTGATATTGGAAACTTTTGAATGGGAATTTCAAATGGGTGAAGATGTATTAATTGCGTCAGTGATTAAATTGCCGTTGATACTGATCCACAGTATGTTAAATGTTGCCCTAAAGAATTTGCACTGCATCATTGACAATCTCGTGTAGTCAATCTCAGCACAATTTATCCCTCGTTGGTACTAAAGTTTCTAAATCCTGCCACGTTAGACCATATATCTAGTCTTCAGGAAAGTTTAAGTGGCAGTTCCTGCAGTCTGGCGGCAAAATTAGAAGTTACTTTTATACTTCAGCTCAAAGTAGGTTAAAACAAAAACCGAATCGCCCGCTTTCGTATATATTGGTTATATATTGGTTAATTGTATATTGGTTACAATTAAATGAATAACTTATTGTCGGGGCAGGTACTGTTTATATATACAGTACATGTTAGGTTAATATAGTCTCACCCCCCCCTCCCCGGATCGAATTACTGACCCTTCACAGGATGCATTAAAACTACAAAAAGCTAACTCCTGGGTACCCATTTACACTTACTGCTGGGTGAACAGTAGTATTAGGTGATGGAAATATTTGGTCAACGAACTCTTACGTTGGTTACCGAAAGTATTAAGGAAATTTCTCATTCTGCAGCAAGTGGGTATTTTCTTGCGGGAAGTCAGATTTGGCGTGTGTTTTTTCTAAAGTACAGTATATGTAATGTGTAGACTGACACTACAATGTTTAGTTGCTGATACACGCTCAACTGCTTAAATATGTACCATGATAAAGGCAAAGTTAAAGCTCTTGTTTGCTGGCTCCATATTTATTTTAATTGATAATGAAGATTGCAAGTTGGTCCTTTTACCTACGAATTCATAACTGGAAAATAGTCCTAGTCGGTCATAAAGGTCACGACTCTTAAACTGTAATTATACCGGGTGCCAGGCTGTACTTTACCCCGATCTCCCAACCCAAATGAATTCACGTTGGTAGCCTCGCGAAGACCATGAGAGTACGGCGGGAGTAAGCGGTAAAATCTAGGGACGACGCGTCCCCGATATTTTTTACTTCATGAAAATCGCAGATGGGGACCCTTCCGATGCCTATACTTAACCATGACACTTGGGCAGACCCTTAACTGGTCTACGATGCTCGGATTTCATGTAAAAGTTGGGCGAGGCTTGCCTCAAGCCGTTGACCACCGCCCTAGCTCAGAGGCCCCCCCCATTTATAGATATGAAGTAACCATTACCAGTAAAAGTGTAATGTAGCTGGTGTAGTCATTACTGGTTCTCCCCAGCACCGGCTAATGATCCAGTGGGAGCCGGACATAGTGTGCGAGGATGATTCTAGCGTGATCGTCCGCTGTGACCGTCCTGATGACTATAACAAGACGGTGGAGTGGAGTCTGGAGACCAGGAACCTGCTGGCCACACTAGAGCGGTCCACTCACCCCGGTCAGTACCTGGCTTCTGGTTAATTATAAGTTTGGTATGTTATAGACATTAAAATAAGTTTGAGGTAAGATACACACAAAGGCTTGAGGTAGCTCAAGCTGTTCTCACCCAGTTTGTTGTAGGCATAGTTTGGCCTTATAGTACATGGAAAGTGTCCATTTTAATCCCCTGTGTATACTGTAGAGAATGTTAATGGACGTGTTGTATACCTTGGTTTTGCTATTCCAAAATTACGTAATTTTAAAACTGATTATACGTCAAAAGAATGAGTAACTGATGGTAGAGATAAAAAAAGTTTGAATCATTTTTTTTGCCACGCCAGTATTTTAAACAGCATTGGTTAAAAGATGATTAGACTGAATAAATGCGCACGAACGTTCTTCTTGTAAATTTAGTTGCATTAGATATTAAAAAGTTCCCTAAAATGTTTTTCCAGTGAAAACTTTCAAATCGAAAAGTCTAGCCTGATGCTAGACCGGCAGCTGGAGACTTGCAGTCAAATATTTTAAAATTAAAAACTGTTCGTAATTGCCTTCATTTTTGAAGCGAGGACTCTTAAGGACTATTGTATTAAAACTCCATAACCACAGGTCCCAAGATGTGGATGGAGATCCAGGTAGGCGAGGGTCCCACTGCCCCGCCCCTCTCTGATCAGGTGGTGTACATTGGTGACGTCTTGACGCTAGTCTTCACCTTGTCTGATAATGTCTACTGGTTCGACTCCAACATTCTGACTTGCTACGCGGTGGATGGTAAGTGGAGGTGGGACTACAGTAAATGCTGAAAATAGACGTAGTGCTAAAGTGCAGCTACTGCAGTGGGTTAGTTTTATTTATAGGAAAGCTTGTTTAGTAACAGTTAAACGGAGTTTGTTGCATCCACATTGAAAGTGTACTTGTGCAGCATACAGGATTTTCCCCAGGAGTGTTCTTTGCAATATTTTAACTTGCACGAGTGTTAACATAGATTATTGAAATACTAGGTAGTGCTGGTTGTTCATAAAGTGTTTGACACGCTAGATGTCACACTTCAGTTGTAACGTAACTTGAAAATAGCATAATAAAACGTAATGCAGGGTAGCTCAAACACTTTGGCTTCGTGAGTGATTCTGATGCTCTGGTGAATAGAAAAGTGAAATGTGAGGGGCATTTGCTGTGCTCCCCTGTAATTTTTTTTCCCCTTGTTGGGTGTCATGGCTTGCACACTGTAGCTGCTTCACCAGAGGCAGTGATGATCCAGGTGGTGGTTTGGCCTCTTGCACCTTATCAAAGAGCAGTGCTGACAGGGCTTTTTTAGCTAGTTTGATTTTCTGGCTCCTTGATTTGTCTTGATTTGAGAAATCCTGGGCGTTTCTTGCTGATTTTATCATTTGCCTTGGTCAATTAGAGTTGAAAGATTGTTAAATCCTTGATTTTTTTTATCTAATCAGCGCTTGTTTATTCAAAGTATAGTTACTAAGTTTCCAGTGAATTTCGATGTGGGGCACGAAAATGCCGTCCCACTATCACAGCGCACACAAGGCCCGGGAGTTGTAAGCTTGGGGGTCTTAAAGAATATTTGATCGTCGTTGTAGTTGAGGTACTTTGCAAGTTGTAGTCGTGCCAGCTTGAACTGCAGTTACTTGCAGCAGGTGGTCATTCGTGGTAACCCCTGGGTAAGGTTCACTTGCGACTGGGAACCTTGGGGTATGACAGCTGGAGTCGTGAGTGGATTTCTTGGGCTGTACCGGCCTGAACAGTAGTAGTTAGTGTCTAGGCGTCATGGGTTGTAAAAGTGGGTCTGGGGTTGTGCCTGATGGGTTACCAGTTCAAGATGTGACGGTTGTAATCACCTAATCAGGAACAGTAACAGTGTGGTAGTTTGTGGATTGCATTATAGAGAAAGTCGGCATCTTGGCATGGCGTGCACTTAGATAAGCATAACTGCCTTTAAATTTCAGAATGAAATTGCCCCAATTATACCCTAATAATCATTTGAAGGCCGAGAATAATTTGCTCGGCCTATTTGAATATTTAGGAACCTGGATATTATTTAATTTTAATTAAAATATTAGTTATACTGAATGTTTGCCTAAAGCTTAATATTTACGTCGGTGTTAATCTAATTCTCCAACATTTCAGGGGGAGAAGAGGTACAGCAGATAGAATGGGCGTCGCAGCCTAACAAGCAAATTACTGCAAGGTCACGAGTTTACAGTGGAGAGACGACAGTCATAGAAGATGGCTGCTCAGTCAAGCCTAAAATCTTCTCGCACTTCTTGAAGGAAAAGCACACCAGGCCCAACGGGGATCTGGTCACATTACATTATGCCCATTTCAAGGTAAAAACTATGATTGGAAAAAAGTTAACGTAGGCGAGTGTCAAATTACAAATTCTAAGCTGGAATAATGATTGAAATATGGTTGTAGTGACTGACTTTGGTAACACTTAATTTAACAAATTTTTAGGCTTTCAGGTTCCCAACTTCTCTGAAGATAATCCTTCAATGTAATGTTCAAGTGTGCTACAAGGAATGTGTACAGCCACCCCCGTGCAGGTGAGCGTTTTAATTGTTTAATTACATTAATTTTTACGAAGTTTTAGGAAGTTAGTGCATTAAATTAGAATGAATACAACAGAAGTGCAGTGACTTCTAGTAAAAGTAAATTTGTTAAATACAACTTTCCTTTGGACAACTACTTTATAAAAGTAGATCTATAGATAGTTTGTATTGGTTGTAATAGTGCAGGGAGACATCTCCCGTCCACTACGGGCTCACCATAGCCCGTGCTACTTGGAACTTGTTCATGGCTGAATCTATAACATTGTAATAGTGCGTTAATACTTGCAGCGAGGCGTTCCATCCCAGGACCTCTGAGAGCCAGCAACGACGGCGGCGAGAAGCCTCTGCCGCAGTGGCTAAAGAAGGCGCGCACGAGGTGGACAAGGTCCAGCTCTACCGCTCCATTGACGTCTTCCTCGCAGAAGAGGGCGGCGAGAAAAGTTTAGTCAGCCTTTTCATATTTATATATGCGCTTCGTGTCTCTTTTTAGGGGGAGCTGTCTGTAAATAATGCTGTAACTGGAAGACGTCTTCTGATTTGACTACCGTATGTATGTTGGAGGTGGAAAATATCGTGTAAGGCTTAGTGTAACTCCGGTTGCAGAGGTTTGCCGTATGAAGGGGCTTGTGTACTATTACCTGGGGCTGGTAGGGTTTACCTCGCCCCCACTCGCGCCCTTGCAAGAATGATACCCTTGATACCCCTCTTAGGGAGTTCTGTGGGAAATATAACAAACCTAAGGTGCCTGTTCGGATCATCGGACCAGTCGTGGATGGGCACCCCATCCAGGGTGGCGGCGCCTCACGGGCAAGTCTTTGCACTATTGTAGGATTTCAAAACTTTTCAAAACGCTTGTGCTCTCTAGCCCCCTCCCCGCTCAGCTCGTTGTCGCCGTGTGGGGGCTTGGTGGGCGGCTGCCGGAGTGTGATGCTCCTTGGGACAGTCCTGTCCTTTTCTAGCCTTGTGCTCCTGCTGCCGTCCTCTCCAATTCTGCTGGGCATCTTTTCCTTTTCCTTCTGTTTCGTTTTTCTCCCCCCTCTTCTCCTATCTGCTTGCCGTTTCCTGCCGACCTTTTGCTCGTTCTGGTTCTTCCCTTGGACTTCTTCTATTTTGACGCCCGGGTGCTTGAGGAGGCATACTCTTGCACCCGTAGAACTGCAGTACCCGACGTCGAGAGCGAGGGGAACCTTTTATTGTCAATCCCCACTTCGTCACTGAACCCGATCTCGACGGACTGTCGGTTTCTTAAGGTGGCGTTTGTGGGGCGTATACTCACGACGCACCCCTAGGAGGCCCCGACAAGATCGGCGATAGCTTCTTGTTGGGTGTCCTGCCTCTAATTGTGGCTCCATGGTGGGTGTGGGGGCACATTTGTGAGTGAATTCTTCTTTCGTCAAGATGATTACCCCTGCTTCGGCTTCTTCTGGTTTACCTTCTCAGGCTCGTGGGGTGGGCGACCAAGCCCCCGAGTCGGTCCGTATTGGAAGACCGGGCTCTGTAGCCTCCGCTGCATTGGGCCCCGACCTTGCTCCTCCTTTGGCCTCTCTGACTCCTTCCCCTGGCTCCCCTCCCTCCTCTGTGGTTGGGTCGAGCCCCAAGCCCCCAGTGGTGACTACCTCGTCCCCTGGCGCGGCTCCTTCTCTCGTTGTTACTACTGCGCCTTTTAACCCCTCTCTCTCTGGGGGTTCTCACCGCCGTTCTCGTCACGGCCGCCCTCGCTCGATTCCTTCCAGTTCTGCTACCTATCAAGCCTTGTTTGGTCCCGCTTCGTGGGCCAAATATTTTGATCTCCTCCCTCTTGATTCTGCGCCTCCTGACGATTTCTCCCTTCATCGACATCTCATTGATTCCGTGGATGCCTCCATTACTTTTAACCCCACTCGTCTCGGTACGCGTGTCGTTGCTGCTCCTTCTCAGGATGCTGCTTCCCGCTTGGCTGCCTTATCCTGCCTTGGCGAGACCCCCGTTCGGGTCTCGAAGAACGTCCAGTTGAATGCCAGTGTTGGCACTATTTTGCTCCCGCCCCATGTTGCGACCGGTGTTCGGGACCTACGCGACTGCCACGACGATATTCGACATATCCTCGCTGCCCAGGGCCATTCTATTCTCCAGGTGGACACGTTTACTCGTCCCCCTCGTGGTAGTCGCCGTCAACCCCTCCGGGTTGTGAAGATTACCTTTGATGGTAGGACCCTTCCACCCTCTGTCATTCTTGCTGGTGCCAGGTGCTCTGTCCAGGAGTACATTCCTTCTCCTCGGCTCTGCAACAAGTGCTGGAGGTTTGGGCATGGTGCCCTCCGCTGCTCCGGGACTGTCTCTCTCTGTCCTTTGTGTGGTGGCGAAGGTCACTCTAAGTCGGAGTGCGCTTCTCCCCAGGCTCGTTGCCTCAACTGCGGTGAGGCCCATCCTACCTTCTCCCGTGCGTGTGTCCATTACAAGCTTGAGGCAGCCGTCCTCAACTTGAAGCACCGGGAGCGTTTATCTTTTCCTGAGGCGAGGCGCCAGGTTCGCCGGCTCCCGCCTTATGCTAATATCTCTTATGCTCGCGTGTTGCGCTCTTCCTCTCCTCGTCCTTCCCGCCTTCCTCAGACTCACAACCGTTTCCAGGCCTTGGACCCTGATGCGCCCACTGCCCCCTCCTCTGTCCCTTTGGGTTCTCTCCCGAAGGATCCTCCTCCTGGTCCTCTGTCTGGGGTTCCCCTTCCTTCTACCCGGTCTGTCGTGTCTTCTGTGTCTCCTTCCTCGTCCCCCTCCGATCCTCCTTCCCATCCTCTTCCTCCATCTATCGGCTCTCCCCGCCGCCTGTCGGTGCGGGCGGATGTCCATCGCTCTCCTAACGGCCGTCGTGTGTGCTCTCGTTCGGCTTCTCCTGTTGAGACACTGGAATCCGTTGCCCGGTACGTAGTTGCTGGGACACCGGTCCCTTTAAGTCAGAAGCGTAAGCCTGGCTCCTCTCCTTCCTCTTCCCCGGCGGGTAAGAAGGCTTCGCTTTCTTCCTCAGCTCCTCCTTCTGGCTCTGTTGCTCCTTCCACTCCCGTTTCAGTGCTTGCGCCCCCTGTTCCTGCTATGGAGGTTTCTTTGGCCCCTGCTTCCCTTTCGGTTGCTGCTCTTGCTGGGGTGCTCTCCTCTCTTTCTACTCCCCCTCTTCCTGCTGCTGTCCTTGACTGCTCCTCTCCGTTGTCTCCTCCTCCTCCTCCTCCTCCTCCTCCGGACCCTGCCCGCCCACCTCTGATCTGTTCTCCCGTTTCCTTCCCTCCGTCTTTGCTCAGTTTACCCATGCCCCCTAACCCTGACTTTGCTGACCCTGATCCCGACCCTGATATTCTTTAACGTGCTCTGTTGGTCTTTCGCCTTTGTTTCTTCCTTGTTCTCTGTTTTTGTCCTTTCTCTTCTCGTCGTTGTCCATTCTTCAATGGAACGTTCGAGGTTATTACGCCAATTTCCTCGAACTCCAACTTCTGGTTTCGCGGTTTTCGCCCCTTTGTGTCTGTCTCCAGGAGCCGATGCTTGGTGCTCGTCCTGGTCGTTTTCGTGGCTATTCCTTTCTCTCCCCCCCCCCAGCCATTGCTGGGGCTTCTAATTCTTCTGCTCTCTTGATTCGGGCTGATGTTCCCTTTGTTCCTTTACTTTTTCCTTCGCCTCTCCATTGTTCTGCTGCTCGTATCTTTGTGGGGAAATGGTACACAGTTTGTTCCATTTATCTCCCCCCGAGTGTCCCGCTCTCTCTTCCTGATTTGAAACACCTCCTAGACTCCTTGCCGGAGCCTGTGCTCCTGCTGGGTGACTTCAATTGTCGTCATTCTCTTTGGGGTGACGTTCTGACGAATACCCGGGGTCGCCTCCTTGAGCCGTTTCTCCTCTCTTCTTCCCTGTCTCTTCTGAATTCTGGTGAGCCCACTCATTTGGACTCTCGAACTCGCACCCTTTCTTGTCTTGATCTTTCTCTCTGCTCTTCTTCTCTTTACTTAGATTTCACATGGCAGGTTCTTGATGACCTCCATGGAAGTGATCATTTCCCCATCCTTGTTTCCTTTTTCTCTTTTCGCCCTTCCCTCTCTTTCCCTAGATGGCAGTTTGCTAAGGCGGACTGGACCCTGTTTTCCCTCAGTGCTACTCTCTCTGACCTCTCCCTTCTGCCCCTCTCTCGCGCTCTCCTCCTTTTTCATGACACTGTCTTCGACGCTGCCCTCCGCTCTATTCCTCGCTCTTCCTCTCGGGGTCCACGGAAGTGCGTTCCCTGGTGGAATGCGGACTGTGCTCGGGCTGTCCGCTGTAAGCGTGCAGCCTGGAAGAAGCACCGCCGTAGGCAGACGACCGATTCTTTTCTTTTCTTTCGGAAAGCGAGTGCGGTGGCCCGTAGGGCCATCCGTACGGCTAAACGTGAATGTTGGGCTTCTTATGTCTCGACAATTACGTCCGAAACCCCTCTGGCCCAGATCTGGAAGCGTATCCGCAAGATAGCGGGTAAGTTCGTTCCCGATGTTTCACCGGTCCTTCACCTCCATGATACTCTTGTGGCGGACCCGTTGCAGGTCGCTTCCGAACTGGGTTCCCACTTTTCTTCTGTTAGCTCTGGTCTTCATCTTCCCCAATCTTTCCTTCTTCGTAAACCTGTCCTTGAGTCTCGTCCTTTAGATTTCTGCACTCATCTTCAGCTTCCCTATAATGATCCCTTCTCTCTCTCTGAACTTCGTTCTGCCCTGGCCCTCTGCGGTTCTACGGCGGCGGGCTCCGATGGTATTCATTATGAGATGCTTCGCCATCTCCCTCCGAGCACGTCTCAGTATTTACTGAGTCTGTATAATCGGATCTGGGAGTCGTCGTCAGTCCCTGAGGACTGGCTCGATGCCGTTGTCCTCCCTGTTCGCAAACCAGGGTCTCTGGGTACTTCCCCTAAGGACTTTCGCCCTATTGCTCTCACAAGTTGTGTCTGCAAACTCTTTGAACGTATGGTTAACGTTCGTCTGATGTGGTTCCTGGAACACCATCACCTCCTCTCCCCTTCTCAATTTGGTTTCCGCAAGTGCCGCAGCACGACAGATGTCCTGGTGAACTTGGAGGTCTATATACGTACTGCTTTTGCTGCGAAGACCTCCGTTGTTGCCGTCCTTTTTGACCTAGAAAAGGCTTACGACACCACTTGGCGTTATCATATCCTATCTCAACTTCATTCTTTTGGCCTTCGTGGTCATCTCCCTCTCTTTCTCCGCAGCTTCCTCTCTCGTCGTTCCTTTCGGGTGCGCCTTGGTACCGCTCTCTCTCCCCCTTTTCAGCAATACGAAGGTGTGCCCCAGGGTAGTGTTCTGAGCACTACTCTTTTTCTGGTTGCCCTCAATGGTCTTCTTTCCTCTCTTCCTTCTGGTGTCTTCTCCGCTCTCTATGTCGATGATCTTACCCTTTGTTGTCAGGGTGATGATTCGCCTCTCCTTCAACGCCGGCTTCAACTTGCGATTGATGCCGTGTCGTCTTGGGCCACAGGTCATGGCTTCAAGTTCTCTACTTCTAAGACTTGTGCCATGACTTTTACGCGGAAACGGGTTGTTCTTCGTCCCTCTTTGTCACTTTATGGTCATCCCCTTGAATACAAAGATTCCGCGAAGCTTTTAGGGTTATTCCTTGACACTCGTTTGTCTTGGTCTCCCCATATCTCTTACCTCCGTGTTGAGTGCTCTAAGTCCCTTACCCTCCTTCGGGTCTTGTCCCATACTTCTTGGGGGGCAGATAGGCGCACTCTCCTTGCTTTACATTCCTCTCTCGTCCTGTCTAAGCTCGATTATGGTTGCCCTGCTTACTCGTCTGCTTCTCCTTCTACTCTTCGCCGTCTTGATGCTTTGCACCATACTGGGTTGCGCCTCAGTTCTGGTGCCTTTCGTTCGACTCCCGTCCTTAGCTTGTATGTTGACACTGGCTTCCTGTCTCTCCAGGACCGCCGTGATCGCTACTGTCTTCGGTATCTTGCGCGGTCCTTGCAACATCCTTCCTCTCGTCTCTGTCGTGCTTTAACTTTTACCCCTCCTGCGGTTCCTGTTCCTCTTCACCACCTCCCTCTTTCTGTCCGGTTATCTCGCCTGCAGGATTCTCTTTCCGTTCGTATTTCTGATGTTTCTCCTCGTGTTGTTCCTTCTTTGCCCCCGTGGAGGGTCCCTCTTCCGCGGTTTTGTACATCCTTGACTCGCATCACTAAAGCTTTTACCCCTCCTACAGTTCTCAAACGCCTTTTCCTCGAGCACTTTTCTTCTCACTCCCGCTCCGTTTCTGTCTTCACCGATGGGTCTAAGTCAGCGGACGGTGTTGGCTACTCTGTTGCTTTTCCTGATCGCACTTATATGTGTCGCTTGCCTCCGGAGACTAGCATCTTTACAGCGGAACTTTATGCTATTCTCTATGCTCTTCGTCTCCTACTTTCTCGTTGTCAGTCTTCCTTTGTAGTTGTTGTTGACTCTCGTAGTGCCCTCATGGCTCTCGGGTCCTTTAATCCAGTTCATCCAGTGGTTGTCGAGATCCAGCATTGGCTGTTTCTCGTTCATAGTAAATTTAAGTCGGTTGAGTTTTGTTGGGTTCCCAGCCATATTGGTGTGTCTTTAAATGAGCGTGCGGATGCTGCCGCCAAGGAAGCTGTCCGCTCTTGTCCCATCTCTCGTAAGGGCATTCCGTATTCCGACTTTTACCCGGTTCTCCATTCCTCAGTCCTTACCCGTTGGCAGGCTTCTTGGTTGTCTGTTACTGGTAACAAGCTACGTACTCTTAAATGTTGTGTTTCCTCGTGGCAGTCCTCCTTCCACCGTAACCGGCGGTGGGAAACAGCTCTGGCGAGGTTGCGTATTGGCCATACTCGCTTAACCCATGGTCACTTGATGGAGCGCCGCCCTGCTCCTTATTGTCCTAGTTGCATTGTCCCTCTTACGGTCGTGCATGTCCTTCTTGAATGTCCTGACTTCCAGGACGAGCGTATGTCTTGCTTTCCGACCGCCCCTCGCGGTCACCTGTCCCTCGATAGAATTCTTGGTGACTCGGATACTTTTGATATCGTTCGCCTTATGCGTTTTTGTTCTCGTATTGGCATCCTTGGTGATATTTAGCGCCCTCTGATTATTTTGCGTATTTGATGGTGCTACATAGCCTTCCCGGTTTGGTGCCTTCTTTTGATAATTACTTACTTACTTACTTGTGCTCTCTAGAGTGGAGTACTGCTGCACAATGACAGCCCCTTTCAAAGCTGGAGAAATTGCTGACCTAGAGAGCGTGCAGAGATCCTTTACTGCTAGAATCCACTCAGTAAAACATCTAAATTACTGGGACCGACTAAAGAGCCTAAATCTGTACTCCCTTGAGCGCAGGCGGGAGAGATACATAATAATTTACACGTGGAAAATAATTGAGGGGCTGGTCCCAAACCTGCACACAGAAATAACACCACATGAGACCAGAAGACATGGCAGGATGTGCAGAATACCCCCGTTGAAAAGCAGAGGTGCAACAGGTACTCTGAGAGAGAACTCTATCAACATCAGAGGCCCGAGACTGTTCAACACGCTTCCACTACACATAAGGGGCATAACTGGCAAACCCCTCACAGTGTTCAAGAGAGAACTGGATAAGCACCTCCAAAGGATACCTGATCAACCAGGCTGTGACTCATACGTCAGGCTGCGAGCAGCCGCGTCTAACAGCCTGGTTGATCAGTCCAGCAACCAGGAGGCCTGGTCGACGACCGGGCCGCGGGGACACTAAGCCCCGGAAGCACCTCAAGGTAGCCTCAAGGTAGGATACTGTACGGCACAGTTAGGACTTGCCTGTTAAAATTGGGGAAAGGCCAGAACCTTTCTGCAATGGCCAGAATTGAATTCTGCCTCCCTAGCTGCCTTGGTAGTGATATCCCTATTGGCTCTTGGGACCTAAACTTTAAAATGCATGTCAACTGAAAGCCTTCTCAAACACAGGTTTGTGGAGCGCATGACCCAGTATGAGTCAATGTAAGATCAGGTACTTTAGTCTCTGCAACTGCTCTTCCAACATTGTCTTTCACTGGGCTCCACACGGAGCGCCTCGTGTCCTTGGTAGCATTTAACTTTGAATCCTGTGATTGAATACCAATATTGGTAGTTTCTAGTTTTTAACAGGTATACAGTACTGTATACTAAAATTCTATTTTGGACCACCAAAATGGTCCCCAGCCATATTGATTTCTCTACAGAACGTGTGGACGTAGCTGCTGAAGCCATTAGTGTTCATTTCAAAGGATTATTCGGGAGAACATGCCAGTCCAGTATACACCTTTATATCATTTCTCATAAATTTTGTACTAAATTTTCTCAATTTGTTCAAATTTTGTACTGCTTTCTAGTCATTAATAATAGATAGAAAATTGGCTAGGTATTGTAAATGCTCAAAATAGGTAGGAAACTGCTCTCGTAGGTTGTGTATTGGCTACATATGAATAACTTGGGGGCACTTGATGAGCTACCCTCTTGCTGTCAAAACATTGTCCCGCTTAACCACACATCTTGTATAAAATTTATTGATTTTCATAACTGAATCTCTTTATAGTAGTTTGTCCCTATACAATTTTTTTCTAATATTGGTATACTGAATCCAACCACTTTATCTGGAAGGCACAGCGATGGTATCGTCTTGCAAGTTGGTGTTCAATCCTAGACCATCGGTGGTTGGGCATCAGTTTGTCAAATCTATAATCCTCGTCCCTTCAAAGTTCTATATAGTTTTCATGGCTTTATGCTTTCTCCTGATAATTACTTTGGTACCATAATCAATTTTCATTAATGTTGGGAGCCATGAATGGTGGTAAAGTTTCCCAAGCTTTGTTTCTGATGTCTGCTTGTGTAAACATAATGCAAAAAGATGGGTTTTGTTACTGGTGTACAGGCTACACAGAGCTTTCCCAAAATTGAACCAATGATGTGTGGCAGACTGCCTTCTATAGGCAAAGGATGGGTATATTTGTCATAACCTTTTCTACATTACACCATAGCAAAGTTAGTTTACCACTTTTATCTTGTACCATTACCACTGTGCTTTATGTATTAAGATTTGATGCACGTTAAGAAAAGTACATATATTAATAAATTTAATCGTGTGCTTGAAAATTGTGCTCATGAAATTATATAACAAGGAATTTAAACCCTTTGTGTCTTTGAAAGCACAGTAAATATACCATAGTTTTCATATGAATTGAGCTAAACTAATATATTTTTTTTAATTTCAGAAATTCATGTAAATTCGCCTATTGTTGCTCAAGCCCTTAAAGACTTCTGCTACAGCCCAACGGTGTACTATTCCACTGTGATTGGTCTTGTTGCTGTAATAGTAATACTGATTGTCATGATTTGTGCTATTTGTTTGAGGGATAGAATGCCAAGAGCTTCATTTTATACTCCAACAAAATCACTAAAATAATGCTTTAATTTTCAAATTTCGTAAAAAAAAAAATTCCTGTATCCCATATTTAAACTAAATATTAGAATGATTTTTTTAAAGAACTATATTTGGATAAGCATAGTGTATATACTGTGTTTAAAAAAATAAATGCATAAATACCAGTTGTTGCTAATATTCTTTGGTAAATTTCACATTTGTAATCGATGGGGAAGGGGGTGCATGACTGTTAACTAAATATTGGAAGACATCTTTGCATAAATACGAAAAGCAGAAGGGACAAAAATATTGGGCAAGTGAGCAATTTGCTCTACAAATTGGCAATTTTTTATTAAATTTATGATTAGCACCCAATTCTTGGCTTGTTACCACAAGCAAAGCAACAAACGTGGAGGCGGAAGTTGGAGCGTACATAACTTGTATTAAAACTCATTCTACAGCATATGTTCATGTTCAAGTATGTTTATTGAGATAAGCAATAAATACATCTCAAAGGGATAGAGTAGCTTAGGCTATTTCTACCCCCCTCTAAGTAGAGGGGGGTAGAAAAGTCCCTCAAGGGGCGCACAAATTCAGAGTACAAATAGACATATAACAGTACAAGAATCCCATTTAACATTGCATACAGCAAGTACAGCATATAATTGTTACATTCTTGGAGCAAAATTCTTGTAGTTCCTAAGTATACTGTCTATTATACCATTATCACACATACAAACAATTTGATGTGGTACACTATTTCCTTATTTTTCTATTTTTCAATAAGGTGACACTAATACATAATGTTCTAAGGTGTGGGCGTACGGCATGCTACATAATTTACACTCCTTATCTTTTTCACTGACATCGACACCGTATTGCCAGATATATTTATATCCTAATCGTAATCTCATGTAAATTGAATCCTTCCAAGTAGACTTTCCTTTACCATAAGTGAAGGACGAATTTATATTATTGAATAATTCTTAAGTGTGTTACTACTGTCCACCAATGCCATTCTCTTTATCATTTCTTCACCCTCCTGAATCACCTTGAGTCTTGTTTTTATTTGTTTCAAGGTTAACTGACATACAACATCAACAAGAGTTTTTTCAGTGGCTCTCTTCGCTATGTCATCAACTACCTCATTCAACAGTATTCCCACATGTGAAGGGATCCACATGAATCTTACTTTATACCCAGTTTTTTCTAGTCTCTTAACATTCTCTCTACACTCTCTCACAATATTCTGATATACTGGGCGTCTGCTATTTAAAGACTCTAACGCTCCTCTGCTGTCAATAAAGAATCAAGCATTTTTACCACATCTGACTACTTCCTGTAATCCTGCTAATACTCCTTGGAGTTCAGCCTGCGTTGAAGAGACATTGTCAGTTAAGCGGCGTCCAATAACAGTATCTACAGTGCCGATGTCAGTGTACTCCCTGATCAAGACTCCACATCCTGCCTTCCCATCCCTAGCTACTGACCCATCACAATATACATGTAGAGTGTTTTCCGTAGGCAGTTTTCTAATTATACAATCATATGATGCCCTCAGCTCTCCTATTTCATGCATACTTTTTTTCTTATGCAAGGGAGTAATTACTACATCTACATTACAATCCTCCCATGGTGATGTGAATTTCCTCTTGGGCACAACAATACACTCTGTAATAACATCATACTTTATAACATAATTTATTCATATATACTCTCTTCTTCATCATACACTGTTCACTACTTCCCACCTTTTGAACCGAGAGGATTAATTCATTAGCTCCCCCACCTCTCATTAATCTAATGGCAGAGGCTACATTTATCTCTGAAATTCTATCCCCAATACTTTGCAGATTCAACTCCATCCTCATTATCTCAATCATAGCATTTCTTGGGCATCCTAAGATAATTCTCATGGCTTCATTTTGTACCTTCTCCAACTTGCCCGTCCTACCTTTACCAAAACAAGAAATGACAGGTGCAGCATAATCAATAAGAGATCTTACAGTACTCAAGTATAACATTCGTAGCACTGGGACTCCCACTCCCTTTCCACAGCATGCCAAAGCCTTCAGAGGTTGTAATCTCTTCAGACATTGACCCAACAGTCTGTTCATCTCAGCTTCCAAACTCTCATGGCTATATCCAACATATATGCCTAAATATTTATATATATTAACTCTCTCTATATTTTTATCGTTTATTTTCAAAACAATGGGGCTCCGACTTCTACATTCAAACTTGGTTTTGTTTTCATTAACCACCAGTCCCATATGGTGACACAGGTTTCCGAAATTGTCCAACACTGTTTGAACCTTTGAAATATCTTCGCCCTGAAAGAAAATATCATCGGCATATATGATCGGAGTTACCCCATTTGAGTATCTCTCAGATGCTATCTTATTCATTAGTACATTAAACAGGGTGGGACTCAACACTCCTCCCTGAGGTGTGCCGAGTTCAAAAGACCTCACACCTGACATACAACCTTGATACCACACCTGAGCCTTCCTTTCGTAAAGATAATCCCCTATCCAGCGCAATAATTTCCCTTTAACACCAAGACTAGCTAATTCATATAAAATAACCTCTTTGTTGGCTTTATCAAAAGCTCCTTGTAAATCAATAAAAATTCTATAATAATCATTTTCATTAGCTAGACATTTAATAATACAATCAGAGGTACTTTTTCCTTTGAACAACATTTGAACTTTGAACATTTGTACCCGAACAAATTACTAGACAGCTGATCACCTATTATATATGTCTATTTAAAATGATCCTCTCCATCATTTTACAAAAACACGAGGTTAAAGACACAGGTCTATACTCTCCATTGGCTTTAGGGATGATCATAGCTTTTTTCCATTTACTGGGAACACTGCCCTCTTTATAACTAATATTAAAGAGGTCTAAAAGTGGGCTTTTTGTCATAGTGGCAAGTTCATTAAGTATTTCATAAGTTACTCCATCCTCCCCAGGTGCGGTAGATTTCCCAACTTTAATCGCCGTTATTAGTTCTTCTCTGGTAATACCTGTGCAAGTGACATCACCACTGTTACCTGCTATAAGTATAAAATCCTTTCTTAGATCTTTCCAAGAATCTAATGACTCTCTCGTTACAGCGGGTAATGAACTAAGTTTGGCAGCTTCCGCCCATTTATTTACGAGCCCATTTGCAATTCCTTGCGGGTCTGGATGTGCAACAAAATTGTGCTTTTTACCCCTTATTTTATTTACGTCTTGCCAGATTTCCTTCAAGTTTCTGTTACTCCCAACTTTCTCTGCAAATTCCTGCCAATACTTGCTCCTAATTTCCTTTCTCTTCTCCCCACACAGCCTAGCAACTGCCAGTAAAGCATTCTTCCCTTCCTCAGTCCTACCATTCCTATTCCAATCCCTGTGAGCTCTCCTCATTGTTAATGTCCACCCCTTAAGCATCTTGTCATGTGTATAATTTTCTTTTCTGGGGGGATGCCTTTTTATACTAGATGGTTTCCGGTTCAATGTTGCATTAAATACATCTACCTCCTTTATTAAATCTTCATAAAATGCTTCTGCCGAAACCGGCTTATAAGTATCATACCAAGACTTAATATGGCCAACAAGACCCCTTAATTCTCCCTCATTAAACTTTAACCTTTTCCTCTGAAGGCAGGCATGCTTTTTATCTAGTTTAAGCTGTATTTGTAATGCAAAATGATCACTTAGCATTTCATCCACAATAAGACAATTCCCCTCTATGCCCTCAGCATTTATTAAACAAGCATAATCTAATCTCCCTCCCCTCAAATGAGTAGGAGAGGGCTCGCCCAGCAGTTGAACATCTTCATGTTCCTGCAAAAACTGGTACCATCTGCAACCATTCCTATTTGCTTTACCCCTTGATCCTAAAGCTGGATGTCTGGCATTAAAATCCCCTACCACAAGTGTATCTTCAGAAAAGAAGGAATCTGGCAAGAATCGTAAATCAAGGGAGCTATCAGAGATATATAGATTAATGAAATTTAACTCTCGGTCCTTTAATTGTATCCGCAAGCTAATACTTTCAATACCTCTATATCTCTGAGGGATTCCAGTTATCTCGGCAGGTATGGTACTTTTGACATAACATGAGACCCCCCTAGTTCCTCCATCAGCATATAAGTGAAAGCCTCTATAGCCATTTAGCCTCAGTATGCTACCATCCCTATCCCCAGTTTCCTGGAGTGCTACTATGTCAATATCCTCTCTAAGAGTATAATAGTGTACATCCACCGCTCTAGTTTTTAATCCATTAATGTTCCAAGATAATATTCTCAATTTACTTTCATCCATGATTAATAATAAAACTACCTTTGCCCTGTCCGTCACATTCCATGAGATACAAGAGTACCTTAGAAACTTCCTTCCAACACCGTAACATTTTTTCTTTCTCCTCACCTTCACAACTACTACTAACATCGAAGGTAATATTTTTCATATCTATTTTCTTTGTTATTTCTGTAACCCGTTTTACTTTAACCGTTCTTTCACCATTTGTCACAACAGGAGGTTGAACACCGCGAACACTACTAGAAAGTGTATTCTCCTGACTATCCTCTATCATCGTTACCTCATGCACATCATTACTTTCGTCTACGCACGTTTCACTTTCCATTTCACGTCTCGTTTTACTTTCAATTACACGTCCTGTTTCACCACCATCTTCACCCCGTCCACCTTCCATAGCCAATTTTTCCAATGCCTCAATCCTCTTATCTAGTTTTTTTAGATACTCCAAAATTTGATTACCAACCTCAGAGGTGACCATATTGTCCTGAACCAATTGTCGTCACAAGGTTTCAGTTTTTCCACTGCATGATGCACTTTCCCTAAGCTCGCCTTTACTTTCTCCGTCCCTTTTTCCCACACATTGATCATAGGGGCTGCCGTTGGCTTCCAACTGTTTCCTCCATGTTCCTCTTGCACAATTTTTCCTTGCTGCGAGGATACATCTATCCTGCTTGTAGGACCCGTTCTAGTCTCTTTCAGATGAGGCTTCATGGGGCATAGAGAGGAACCAGCATTGTGGCTGCCTCGACAGTTGCAACAAAATGGGATGATTTTTTCACTTCTTTCAATCTTGACTCTACACTCTCGCGAGTCGTGATTTTTCCCACAATACCGACACCTGGGGTCAAACTGGCATTTCCATGCCATATGTCCCCAACGTGAACACTTC